CATCGGAAACAAAAGTTTGACTCTTTTTTCCTTGTCGTTGTTGCTGCCGGGCTTTTGTTGTTGCTGTTCTCCGCGTGTTTGTCGTCCGTCTGGAAGGCCGGTCCACGCCGCGCTTGGCTTCGCTTGGCGCCCGGCTCTATCGCCGCATGAGTCAACCGCGTGCTGTCGTCTTGGCCTCCTGGACCAGACCCTGGACCAGACCCCGCCCCGGCCCACTGCGTGCGTGTGAAAATGACATATTGCGCTAAATATTGATTTTTCCTGGATGGGCCCCGCGCTGCCCCGCGCCGGTCCGGGCCGTGGCACATGCCGTATTTTTGGACGCACTTTAGCGCTTGAGCGACACGGCCGCCGCATCCCCGTCCCGGCCCCTCGCTTCGCTACTTGTGCGCGTTTAGGTTTTGGAGCCGATGGCGCACGGCGCGCTCCTGGCGCCACATTTGGCGCGTCCTTCCGGCCTCTGATTGAAGAGGAAACAGGGCGAAGGGGGGGGGGGCCTCCGATAAGGTCCGCCGATGGACGGACGACTGTTTTGCGCTGCCAATTTCCGTCCCTCTCTAATTCTGTGATTGGACGGCCGAGTCCAGCCAGGTGGCGCCCCGGTTTTTGTCCCGCTGCCTCGGCCGGCACCGAGTGCTAAATTTGGAACAGGCAGCCCATCCAACGCTCGCCGTTCAAGAGATTTGAACGCGTGACGTCTGAATTTTGTGCAAGTAAGAAAGAACTCGCTGTTTGTCGGGCCTCCCTCTGCGTGTCTGGGCGGTCGTCACGCGGCGCCGGGCCCGTCTGGGCCTTCCCTGGGCCTTCCTGGCGATACTGTAACAGTGGGACTGCGTGACAGTCGGCCGGTGAATCACAGTGCCCTGCCCGGCCGTGCCGCGCGGCGCGCAGCCCGCCAACCTATACCGCTACCAAGCGCCACCACGCCGCCACCACGCCGCCCCGTGGTGGCCGTGGTGGTAGTCGTCGTGGTAGGCAGGCCGGGCAGGCCGTCTGGAGCCGATCGATCGCCGAGGACTCCGCAGTTAGCGCGCGCGGCGTGACGCGCGGCGTGGCGTGGCGTTGATGAGGTGCACTACCAGCAGAGCCTGCGGACTGCGGGGGTGGCTGCCAGACTGCCAGCTAAGGCTGCCCGGCTGCCTGCCTGGCTGGCTGGGCGGTTTGGTCCCCGGGATTTTCAAAGTTTGTCGCGCAAACTTGGCGCGGTGGGTCTCAGGATTCGGCAGGAAGAAGAGGAAGAAGCGCGGAGGGGAAGAAGAAAAAAAGTTGGGGGCTATTTGGCGCGGACCCTTTCCTTCTTCCGATAAATAAATTGGCGCACTTAGTGTCGCCGGAGTATGGCAATGTGAGGCGTCGGCATTCGGGTATTTTAATTTCGGGGGCATTCCCTCCCACCGTGCGTCCCGGGGAGCGTTCTTCGTCTTCAGTCCTCAGCCGGCTGCCACTCGGCGCCACCTCCTTGGCCAAGCCCGGCCGTCTGCCCGCCTGTGTGGCTTCGCCCCCCCCCCCCTCCTTTCTCCCTTCCACGGCGTCCTCGAAGGCCTTTATATTCCGAACAGACTCCGCGACTTTGAGGCCGAGGGCCGTGCGGCCCGGGGCTGTGTGTGGCACTGCAGTGCGGCCGGTGGGGTGGCGATCCTGCCTCGTGGACCTCCTGCACGTCCTTCCCCTCTCCCTACCTGTCTGCCCCCGCACTGCGCCGCTCCAACTCCCCCAACCCCACATGCGCTGCCTTCATAGAATTGCTCTCCGCGCCACGCGGCCACGCGCCGCGCACATCGAGAAAGCACTTTCACTGCGTCCGTGGACGTGCCGCGCCGCCCCGGCCGCCCCGCTGCAGTGCCGTGCCGGTCACCCTGACCCTGAGGTGCCGCGGCCGCGGCCTCGGGCCGCCAATGACACTCCCCTCCCGACTCGCTGCCACCGCACTGCCACCGCACTGCCTCGCCGTCAATGAATTGGCAATGAGAGCGAGAGTGGCTCGCTGCCTTTGCATCGCCAACCTGCCGCGCTGCCGTTTATGTCTGTCCGACAGCCCCTCGGCCGACTCCTCCTTCCAGTGCTGCAGAGGGGAGGCAGTGGTGGTCAGTTCGACGCGGCGACAGCACTGCGACAGCAAGCGGCCAGGCCCACTACAAGCAGCCCAGCGCGTGGTTAGGCCTGGCTTGATGACGTGCTCGCTGGATGCCCACTGTTTGGTTCGACATCCCTCCGACGGGGTCGTCAGGAGGAGGTCTCTGCCGGTGCCGATACTCGAGGAGTACGAAAGCACTGCCCTGACGCGACCCCGCGTTCGAGGGACTCTGACAGGGTGGGGGATTTAGTCGTCGATGCTGCGGGCTTTCGTGGGCGATGCCGGCTTCAGGGGAGTTGTGGACACAGGGTACGTCTCAGGCCTTTTGTTGTGTCGTGCCCCGCGGAGCGGGGCTCCTGTTTGGCGTCCCCGTGACGCAACCTATTTGCTGTGTATTACATAGCTCCCGGCACGCCTGAGGATTCCTGCATTGGGCGGAGCACCGTAGCTTGTCAACTAAAATAAGCGGTTCCAACCCGGCTCGCGACCCAATTTGAGAAAATTCCGTCCCCATGTTTCGGACCCCACGGGACCTTTTAACAGCCACGGCGTCTGATCCGAGGCGGGCATTTTGCTCCTCAACGGGCAACTGGTCTTTGGACCTTCCTTTAGCATGCCTTTGTTACGGAGTGCATTATCAGTCTTAGTTTGGGAGCAGTATTGTCTCAAAGTTGGCCAACGCTCAGAAAATGTCTTGAAAAATCGTGTTTTGGGCCTGATTTAAGCAGCCACAGCGTCTGATCCGAGGCGGGCATTTTGCTCCCTCAACGGGCAGTTGGTCTTTGGACCTTCCTTTAGCATGCCTCTGTTACGGAGTGCGATTATCAGTCTTAGTTTGGGAGCAGTATTGTCTCAAAGTTGGCCGAAACGCTCAGAATGTCTTTGAAAAATCGTGTTTTGGGCCGATTTTAAGCAGCCACTGCGTCTGATCCGAGGCGGGCATTTTGCTCCCTCAACGGGCAGTTGGTCTTTGGACCTTCCTTTAGCATGCCTTTGTTACGGAGTGCGAATTATCAGTCTTAGTTTGAGAGCAGTATTGTCTCAAAGTTGGCCGAAACGCTCAGAAATGTCTATGAAAAATCGTGTTTTGGGCCGATTTTAAGCAGCCACTGCGTCTGATCCGAGGCGGGCATTTTGCTCCCTCAACGGGCAATTGGTCTTTGGACCTTCCTTTAGCATGCCTTTGTTACGGAGTGCAATTATCAGTCTTAGTTTGGGAGCAGTATTGTCTCAAAGTTGACCAAAATGTCACAACGATTTTTCAAAGACATCTTTGGCCGTTTTGACGCACTTTGAGACATACTGCTCCAAACTAAGACTGACAATTGCACTCCGTAACAGAGGCATGCTAAAGGAAGGTCCAAAGACCAACTGCCCGTTGAGGGAGCAAAATGCCCGCCTCGGATCAGACGCTGTGGCTGCTTAAAATCGGCCCAAAACACGATTTTTCAAAGACATTTTGAGCGTTTCGGCCAACTTTGAGACAATACTGCTCCCAAACTAAGACTGATAATTGCACTCCGTAACAAAGGCATGCTAAAGGAAGGTCCAAAGACCGATTGCCCGTTGAGGGAGCAAAATGCCCGCCTCGGATCAGACGCAGTGGCTGCTTAAAATCGGCCCAAAACACGATTTTTCATAGACATTTCTGAGCGTTTCGGCCAACTTTGAGACAATACTGCTCCCAAACTAAGACTGATAATTGCACTCCGTAACAAAGGCATGCTAAAGGAAGGTCCAAAGACCGATTGCCCGTTGAGGGAGCAAAATGCCCGCCTCGGATCAGACGCAGTGGCTGCTTAAAATCGGCCCAAAACACGATTTTTCATAGACATTTCTGAGCGTTTCGGCCAACTTTGAGACAATACTGCTCCCAAACTAAGACTGATAATTGCACTCCGTAACAAAGGCATGCTAAAGGAAGGTCCAAAGACCGATTGCCCGTTGAGGGAGCAAAATGCCCGCCTCGGATCAGACGCAGTGGCTGCTTAAAATCGGCCCAAACACGATTTTTCATAGACATTTCTGAGCGTTTCGGCCAACTTTGAGACAATACTGCTCCCAAACTAAGACTGATAATTGCACTCCGTAACAAAGGCATGCTAAAGGAAGGTCCAAAGACCGATTGCCCGTTGAGGGAGCAAAATGCCCGCCTCGGATCAGACGCAGTGGCTGCTTAAAATCGGCCCAAAACACGATTTTTCATAGACATTTCTGAGCGTTTCGGCCAACTTTGAGACAATACTGCTCCCAAACTAAGACTGATAATTGCACTCCGTAACAAAGGCATGCTAAAGGAAGGTCCAAAGACCGATTGCCTGTTGAGGGAGCAAAATGCCCGCCTCGGATCAGACGCAGTGGCTGCTTAAAATCGGCCTAAAACACGACCCCAGCATCGCCGCGACCCCTTAAAAAAATTTCGCGACCCCGCTTGGGGTCGCGACCCTAAGGTTGAGAACCACTGAACTAACCGGAATCGGCTTTCGCTGCTAACCACTAACCCTCGGGACTTTTCCATGTAACCTGTCCTCTGTCTGTGTGTTGTCTCACCGACAATGTTGCTTGTGCTGTACACTAACTTGCCTGCGCCACCCCAGCACTCGGCCACTCGTCTTGCGAGCCGCGCTAGCCACGCTAGCCGCGCCCGGCCGGCACCACTCCCTGCACGTCCTCTCTCTCTCTGCACTCCCTGCATGCGCGGCGATATCCCCGCCTGTGCGGCGCGCGACGCGGGGTAGCGCCGAGGGCGCGGAGTGGCGCCGCCGCTGGAGCGGCCGAGCGAGAGTCTCTGCGGCGCGGAGTATCTGCGCGCGGGTGAATGCACGCAGGGCGGTGCCCCGGGCCGCGGGCCGCCCCGGCGTGGCGCTGCGGCGTGGCGCACTGGCTTTGGCTTTGGTAGACCGCTGATGACTGGTGTGTTCTGCAGCACCTCCTGGCGTACCTCAGCGACCCCGACGGTGCAAGCGACTGCAACAGGAGAGGGAGAGGCAAGCCGTCCAGGACGCCGTCGGTATGTAGCGCCGTGTTGCTGTGCTTGCATGCGTAGGGTGTACTGCGTCGTAGTGTTGTTCTCCTTGTAGGGGTGGCGGCCGGTCGCGGAGGCGGGGCAGGCGGGGCCGCGGAGCAGAAGACTGGTGCCGTCGATACGGGCCCGACCAGGGCACCCCTTCCCCCTCCCCTCCCCGCCGCTCCGCCGTCCCGTCCTCTCCCGGAGTCTCCTCTGGAGCGGCGCGTCAGCCCGCGGAGTCGAGTGTAGGCAACACCGCGGCACGGCTGGCGTGCGGGGTTGGCTACCCCGCGGGGGTTTGACGCTACTCCTCGTGACTCCCTTCCGGACCCCTTTTGTTTTCTTGGTGGTGGTGGTGGTGGTGGTGGTGGTTGTGCATGCTTGAGCCGCATCAATGTGCAACAGCTTATGGGGTGGCCCGTTTTAGCGACACTCTCTGGCGCGACATTATTCAAAGAGACCGCAGACGGGCCCGGCCCAGCCCCGGGCAGGGAAGAGGGAAGCCCCTCCGTGTCGCGGCCTGGCAGTGTGGCAGTGCCTGGCCCGGCAGACGGCATGGCGGGTGGTGCTGCCGGGCCGCAGGCGAGGCGGCGCGTCTATCCAACCGGCAGCCGCTGCAGCGCGCAGGCGCTCAAGAACACCAACACCCCTCGAATGATCAATACCGGCGGTGTGTGCGGAGAATATTGGGCAGGGCAGGGGACGCTGCGACGAGATGGCGGCGAGGTGCACGCGTGCAGGGCAGGCCGCCCCGCGGCCCCGCCCGGCCCCGCCTCCCTGGAGTGGCCCGGGCTGCTAAAGTGCCCCGTGCGGCTTGCGTGCGGTTGCCTCGCGGTTTTCACCTGTTGTCGGGAAGGGGGGAGGGGGAGGGGTTTGCATGTGACAGTGCGGTCCGGCGGGGCGGAGTGGCCGCAGGGGCGGCAGGGCAGGCCGCCGGCTGGACCGCAGTGCCGCAGTGTGCGGTACAGCCGGAAGTCCGTCCCGGCCTCGCCGCAGGGACACCGCGAGGACGCCGACACTGTCGAGAGCCTGGTGGCAAGACGCCGCCGCAGGCCACGCTGTGCGTTTGGCTTGGAGTCGCAGCGACAAAAGCACTGTTCGGAAGACGGCCGCGGGTCGCCCGGCCACCGCCGTCGTGGTCGCGTCGATTGATCCGGTCGTCGTCTCCGGACTGTGCCCCTCCGGGCGCCTTGACGCCTCGCCCTGCGTCGCCCTGCCGGCAGCGTCGCGGCAGCGATGTCCCCCATTGATTATGCGCACTGTCTGATAAGCCCCGTCACCCCCTCCACCTCCCTGGGCCGCTCCCCCTCCCACGGCGCCGCTGGTGCCGCGCGGTCCGACGCGGGGCTCTAGCTTGGGGGGGCCGCGGCGGCCCCGGCGGCCGGGGCGTTGAACTCGCCGCGTTGGTCCGTCGCTCCTCTGCCACAGCTCTCCTACCCCTATAAGTTGGTGTGTGAAAGGCGGAGAAAAAGTAGGGGGGGGGGCGAACACGTGGGAGAGAGAGTTGTGTGTTTTTGTGTGTTGCACTCTTCGTGGGGACGGGCATCTTTTGTGGTTTGCTCGTGCGGCAAGTCTTGTCTGCCACGGCGTGTCGCGCCTCGTGTGTTTGCGGAAAGCCTGGAAAGTCGAGGCAGACGTGGCGCTACGGAAAGCTCGGCGCTGGAAAAGCGACGGGAAAGCGCTCTCGAGGCGACGGAGGGCAAGCAGGGCAGGCGGCAGGGCGGCCCCGCCTGCATCGGCGGCGCTATGACGGCGGAGACGGGATGCAGAGTAAAGGATTCGACCGGCCGCCAGCCTCCCCCAGCCGCTCCCAGCCGCCCGCGACCCCCTAGATCGGACCCCATCCCACCGCCGCCCCCACCGGCCCACCGCGCACAGGAGCAGGAAAACGAGGGAGGAAAACTACCGGGGCGGGGCGGGGCGGGGAGGTCTCGCTGGAACACGGAACGCCCGCGGCCGCCCGGAGCAGGAGACCGCACCTCTACATGCCGGCGGACTGCGCTTACGGCTCGTCTGGCGCCTCGCACCTCGCGAGTTGTCCATTCATGATTTCAAATTTTAAGCGGCGCTCTGAAAAAAGAGTGAGCGCCGCTTCCTTTTTTCTGGTTGGCGGCGCCGGTCGGTCCCCCCCCGTCGCGGTGGCGCGAAGAGGGGCGGCAAAGAAAGTGGCGGCGAATCGAGTTTAGTCGCGGAATGTCTTGTTTATTGGTCTGGCGCGCCCCCCGGCCCGCCGTTCGCACAGCCGTGATTTTAATTCGGCTTTCCAGACGTGCCCTTCGGCTTGGGCCCTTTGGCCCTTTGGCGCGTGCTCTGCGGCGTGAAGGGCTGCTAGGGCTAGGGCAGGGCTCAAGGGCCGGCGGCAAGCCAGAGGAGAGGAGCACGCCTACCGGTCTAAGGGCTGCAGGGACTGCAAGGGCTGCCGAAAGCCCCGACGGCCAGCGCGCATGCGCGAGCCTCTCTCTCTTTCTCACTCCCTCGTGTGAAAAGGGCTCGGGCCGGCGGCGGGCCGGGCGGCCCGGGGGAGGGGAGGCTCCGCGGGGGCAACGCGGCGGGGGCCCGCGGGGCGTGGTGGGGGAACGCGGCACGGCGGTGGCGGTTCGGCGCGGAGCACAGTGGACTCGAAGCACGTCGGGAGCAAGAACGCCCGCAGCGTGAGTGAGTGAGCGATCAGTGAGCGCGCCGTCGTGCCGGTAAACAGACCGCGTTTGTGTGAGTGACCGCCAGGCCGCGAACAGTGCACCGGGGCCGGCCTGCGAAGTCGTCGTCGGCGTCCTCTTCCGAAGCACTCCGAGGTGAGCCAGAGCGCGTCTTACGCCCCTTCGGCGCGCCGCCACCACGCCGCCGCCACGCCACCACCGCGGCGGCGAGAGCCAATTTTAACCGATGGCGCGGTACTGCCCCCGGCACTGCCCCCCGCCGGCGACGCGGGGCCGCGGCCAGGCGAAGGGCCCCGAGGGCCTCCCGGAAGTGGGCCGCTTGTTAGACCGTCCGGGCGCCACCGGCACACCTGCAGCGCGGTGCAGCGCAGTGCAGCGCAGTCTGGAGGGAGGGGACACCTGCATGCGGTGTCTGTGACACGGGCCTCTCGCACCTCGGCGTGTGTGTGTGTGTGTGCGTGTTAGCGTGTCTGGCTGTGGGTGATAATCCCGCCTATTCCATTGTGCGCTGTGTCGCCACAGCCGCGGCCTTTGGGCAGCTCGGTCCTCGCTGCGCGCTGCGCCAGTGCTGCACCGATATCGGAAGCGGGTGCGTCTGTCTGTCTGTCTGCAGACTGTCGTTTGCGTCGCTCTGTCTCTGTCACACTCCCGGTGCTTCCCGATTCGGTGCGAGAGAGACAGAGCGACTCGGGAATCGGTCTGTGCGCGCTGGCCGCCGCTGGCCGCCGCGCCCCGCCCCGTCCGCCCTTCCAGCGCTGCTGTGCACTTTGTGCAGCGAGGCGGGCCAAGCCCGGCCAAGCCCTTATCGGACCAGATAAGCCGTGCGTGGCCGTGCACTTCATGGCCGCGGCGGAGCGGCGCAGCACCGCCAGAAAAGCGGGGAAAAGTTCGACGTTTGACCGCAGGATGCGTGCTTGTTTGTTTACTTTCTGGCAGTTAGCGCGTTGGAAATTTCGAACGCCGTTGTTCGTTTTTGGCATTGGAAATGGCCTCGGCGAAGCGGACGACCGCGATGCTGCGCCACGGCGTGCGCGGCCATGCACCCATGCGCGTGGATCTCGCCTCGTCGGCCTCGCGTGCAGTAGGGACGCTGGCTTCGATCTGGCCGGAACTTGAAAGAGGAAGTTGCGCCGTGATTTAGCTGCGGTAGTTTGGAATTCGTGGAGGCTGCTCCCGGTCCCCTCCCGTTATTGCGTAGCAGGGAGGGGGTGGGGGCGCCGCCGCCGTCGGTGTGGATTTCATTCCATTTCACGGCTCGGCTGCGCCGGGCTGCGCCGCTGTAAGGACCTCACGGCCGGTAGCCGCGGCTCCTCGCCCCGTCTCTCTCGCACTCGCGGGGCGTGCCCAAGGGGTGCGAGAGAGACTCGGAATCTGCCCCCCGGCCCAGCGGGCCGGGCCTTGCAATAATGACCTAAAGCAACCGGGCCGGCATTGATGCTGCATTGATGCCGTTGATTCCGCCTCATCACACTTTGACGGGCCGTCATCGCTCGCATTATGAGTCCTGCACAATGGCGTGCACCTGGACGACCTGGCCTCCGAGGATGTGCCAAGGGCCTGCCTGTCTGTCTGTCTATAGGGGAAGTCGGTGGTGCGCCACAGAGCTGCGCCGTCTTTTTGTACCTTCACCCGCTCCCCCTACACCCCGTGCCCCTCGGATCCGCGGCCCGCTGCTGCAGCGCGGCGCTGCGTCTCAGCCACCCGCCGCTGGATCGAACAAAGCCCGGCCGCCGCGCTCTGGACCGCCGCGGCGCCGCCCCCGCGAGCCGCACCGCCGACTGGTTCTCGACAGCTGTCGCCGACGCTGTCGCCGGCCGAACAGGCAGGCAGGCTGCTCAGACTCGCTGTCTGGCGGTGCGGGGCCTGCGGCGGCGCGCGCCACGCCGGGGGTGGCTATGAATCCGTAATCCAGGGTTGGGTTAGTGACCGGAACCGGGGCTGGCTCGGCTTGTTTACTTGCCGGCCCCGTCCCCCGTGCTGTGGCCAAGGCCCCGTCGGGGGTAGCCAGGGCCCCCTGGAGGGTCGAGGGCTCCCCTCTTGGCGAGGTCGGGGATGGCTGCCACGCTGCCGGGAAGGGGAGGCCCTAGACAGAGACGGAGTGGTTGGGGTTGGGGCGGTTCGGCGCGCCAACGCCTTGGTGTGGCCCGGGGCCCCGGCTTGGCTCGAGTCCCGCTCCGGCCCGGCTCCGGTAATCTTTCGGTTCCGGTCCCGCCAGATAGAGAAAGGCAGTCGAGCTAATCGAGTTGGTCTGCGGATCGCCAGACCTGCTCGACGATCGGGAGGCGTAGAATTGAAGTGATTTGGCGGTGGTGGTGGTGGATTGCACCGTGTGCGTTTTATTGTGGTTTTACCGAGGGTTTTACCGACGTCTGGGGTTTATCTGCCTTCCGCAGTCCTCTTTCTTGCGCGTTCTTGTTGTTGAGGGGGTGGCTGTGGTCGGGGGTGCATCGCCCTGCATCGCACTGGAACCGTAGGGCAACAATGGCCGCCTCGCTCGCCCCGCCTGACGTTTTGTTTGTGTTTGTTGCAGGGCTACCGAAACAAGGCCCGCCCGTCGGTCGGAGGCCCCCAGACCCCCCAGTCCTTGCCGCAGCCCCAGACGCCGACGCCCCAGGCGCAGCAGCCGGGGCAGGGCGCCCCAGTGCAGAGCGTGGTCCAGCCGGACCAGTCCATGCTCGGCAACGTGTCTGAACAGCCGGTGAGTGGCGTCAAACTGCAGCACCAGCTACCACAGCAACAGCAGCCGCTACAGCAGCACATGCAGTACGTGGTCCAGGCGGCGGGGCACCCGGTCGTACACTCGGTCGTGCACCCGGTGGGGCACCCGGTCGGGCCCCCAATCGGGCACCCGGTTGTGCACACAGTCGGGCACCCGGTCGGGCACCCGGAGGGACTGCCAGTGGGGCTGCCAGGGTCCCCTGTGGGGCACCAGCAAGTGTACGCCACTGGTCAGCCGGCACCAGACCGCGGCGGTGCACTCTTCTGGGCTAACTGGATTCACCAGTGAGCCGAGTCGCCGAGTTCCCAGGCAGTTTAGATAAGGGGACCGAATAGATTTGTCGTTTGTTCGGCTTTGCCTTCACTGGACGGCTGTAGTTCTATCTTTGTCTCTCTCTAAACATATTTATAATTTTTTTTAGTCTTAGACTTTTATGAATTACCGTTTTTTTCCAAAGAGCTTACTGATTGATTGACTTTTTAAAATAAACTTAGTTGCACGTTCTTTGTCTTGCAAGTTGCGGCTGTGTAGGCAATTAATGTAAGACTTGATATGTAAATGTAGAAAGTAGATATTTATGGCCGAGGTCAATTGCAATTGTTTTTGTGGAATCAACTTGTATGGGAATTAAAAATTCCTATCGAAAATTTAATTTTCAAGCCGTACTATAGTTCCCATGTGCCACTAGAAACGTATTTATTTGCAACATTGATTTTGCATTTTGTACTGTAAATTGATGCCATACATATTTTGTTTGTAGCTAAGTTATTTTTTTTTCTGTATTATTTATTATTTTGTATTAAATAAAGTGTGACCAAGTAAAGCTTCCTTTTTTTTCTCTTTTATTTAAAACAAAAAGCCGTCCCTGTGGAGGGTGCACAGGTGCCCCGCCTGACCAACCGAGCGAACTGCATAAAGTAACAGACCGCCTTTACAAACAAATGATACTCTATACTCTTGCTTTTTGAACAAATCTGTTGGTAGTGCTGTGCCTCGCGCTTGCCTTTACACGGGAGGGAGGGAGGGCCCTGAGTGTGCTTCGCTGGACCAAAGTTTGCCATTGCTGCCGCTTTCGAGTGAGGCCTGGGCCAGTGCGCCCATCGACCCGGTTGCAAGCGGGCTTTACAATTCCGCTAGTTTCCACCGTGGGGACGGGGCGGCACGGGGCGGCACGGCGCGACGGGAGGGGGGTGAAGATGATCCAAACGAGGGCGGCGGTCCGCGGCCCCGCCTCAATGGGATGATGAACGGGGAGAGTGGGAAACTTGCAAAGCCTTTGCGCCGCCAAAGTGGAAACAACTTTGAATTTCGGTGTTCGCGTCCTCTTTTTTTGGCAGTAGCCCGCCGCCGCACAGTTTTGCTGTTTTAAATTCAGCCGTCCGTCGCGCCGCTCCTCTCCCCTTTTTTACTCATGGCATATTCCGGGCCGCGCGGTGGGGCGTCGCTGTCGGCCAGCCAGCGAGCTTTATTCAAGTTGTTAAATTTTAGACGCAGCCGTTGTGGCCCGACCCGCGGTACGGGGGGGTCTTTCTCCGCGTAACAACCAGCGGGTACCTGGCGCGGCTGTTCTGTCGTCCCGGCGCTGGGGGCGGGCGGAGAGCGCGGCACGGCACGGCACGGTGGCCCCGACGCAGGGCACGGCGCGGCACGGAAGCACCGGCGGCAGCGCCAGCGAGCTCCCGCCCCTTTATTGCATGCCGTTACAGGGAATGACCGCCCTTCCTTTTCCCGGGCAGCTCGCCGAGCAGGCAGACGGGGTGGCACTGGCGTGGGGTCGGCCAGTGGGGTGCCGTGGGTATGTGGGCTCGGTGCGGTGGGTATGAGGGAGAAGGGGTCGGAGTCGTGGGGTAGGCTCCGGGGAAAACAGTGGGCCAGAAGACTGGTGGAGGCGGCCAGAACTCTAGACGCGTTTTGAGCTCCAGAGTCGCTAAATGGGACTCGAACCGAACGTGTGACCCCATCAATGGATTCGTCGTTCGGAGAGCAATCCATTGATGGGGTCACACGTTCGGTTTCAGTCCTGTATATAGCGACTCTGGAGCTCAAAACGCGTCTAGGGATTTTGCCGGCGGCGCGGCGAAGTCGGATCGAGGTGTTGGTGCGGAACGACGCGCTTGGCGCGCAGACGGCCGAGAGTCGCTTCGGTGCGAGGCGGGGAAAGGGTGGCGCGGCCGCCGTAATGCAAGCGGGGGGGGGGGCGCTCGTAAAGCCCGACGGTTCCTCCCGGCGTCGCGGCTCGTCGTCTCGGCAGTCTCGGCCGGAAGAAAATGAACCGGGGGATGGAAAGATAGCCCGGCTGGACCCGCGGCCGGGGCGTCTGGCCCGACTAGCAGTGGACCTGCGGATGGCCTGGTCGATAGTCTCCGGCGGGGCCCTCGAGGTGTGTACTCGACCCCGTGAGAGGTGCTCCAAGCTGGAGGCTCCTCCAGGCCCGGCTCCAGGCTGGGCTGCAGGCCCCAGAGCGTCAAGGGCTTATCGCCGCGACACTCGCTGCGCACGCCACACCTGCGGGCCTCCCAGCCAGCCTGCCTGCCTGCCTCGGTCGTGAGGGGCGGCGCGGACGGCCGCAGCCGCAGCCCGCAGGACACACTGGGAAAGGGGCAGAAAGGGGACGATGGGGCGGGGAATCGATTCCCGACCTACTTCTTGGGGCGCGCCGCCACGACGCGCGGTGCGACGCGGTGCAGCGGCCGTCGCGAAGATGCGATCGGGCCTTGGTCCAGGCAACCAAGACAGGGGAAGAAAACACACAACACAGGGTCTTTAATTAAACAAGCAGTCAAACAATTTTTCTCGTTTTCTGAGATCCGTTTGTTCTTTTCCGGATTTGCTTCTCCCGGGCCGTAGCGGACACCGCTCTACACTCTTCGTCCGAATGCCTGAAGCGGTAGCGTGAAAAACTCCCGCAGTTGGCAGAAACTGCAAGCCGAGGCGAGGGCTAGAGGGAGGGAGGGGAATCTGCGCGCCAAAGGCCGCCATGAGGATCTTTCCGCAGGCCTGCGGCCATGCCTGCGGTGCCTGCGGCCATGCCTGCGGCTGCGGGGCCTGGGGCCCAGATGTCGCCGTCCCGAGGGGCATGGAAATAAAGGGCGGCCGGCAGGGCGATTCCGCACATCGCCGTCGTCGCTGTCTCTCTCGCACTCACGGGGCGTGCCGTCTCGGCGAGAGAGAGACGGAGCGACGGAACGATGTGCGCAATCGGTCCGGGGAATAAAACCTCCGAGGGTCGGGCCGGGCGTGCTTCGCCCTTCCAATAGGGAAGCGGCACGGCAGTTGGAGTGCACTAGTGCACCAAGTTGAAGGCAGCGGGCCCGGCGTCGTCAAGGCGCCTGCGAGACCGCGCCGGGCAACGCGGAGACACCGGTGCGCGGCGGGCTGCATCTGCCAGGGGCTCGCCCCCGTCCCGGCTGCACTGGCTGGGCTCGGCGTGGTTGCTTTGCGGGGGTGGGGTGGCGGGAGGGAGTTTTCGGTGGACACAATCAGACCGCGGCGCACCGTGGGGACACCGAGGCCAGCCCTGGGGACGGCAATCCAGTTCGAATGCAACTCGGTGGCATTTGGAGTTGGTCCGGACGACTTGACTCGGTCGCTGGAATTGGCCGGGCGTGACTGCCGCCTCTCTCCTTCTCTCTCTCCCTCCCCCTCTTCAGTCTTCTTTCTCTATCCGGCTGCGGTTCGCAAAAGTGCGCACTCTACTCTTGGCGAGTGGAGTTCCCGATCCAATTTAATTTTCGATGCGACTGAATCAACAGCAGTGACATCGGCGTTCCGGCGGCGGGGCGGGGCGGATGGCGCGCGGCCTCCGAGGTCGCCTCGCCGTGTTTGAGCAGAAAGGGGAGGGGGAGGGGAGTCCATGAAGCAGGCCTAGAGGGCCCAGCGGCAGGCCAGGCCGTCGACGCTTATCGCCACTGCTGCCACAGCAAATAATAAAAAGCTGCGAGTGTGGCTGTCCGTCCCCGTCCGCCCGGCCGGGGCTGCCGGGGCACGGCGTCCATTACGAGGAGGGTCCTTGCCGTCCTCTTCCCCGCGGCCCCCGCCCCCGGCCCCCGCCCCCGGCCCCCGCCGGCGCGTCGCGGCACTTGCTTGCTCCACACAACCATTCCACTCACTCTACTCTACTCACTCCACACTTGCTTCGACGCGTTCCTCGAGCGCGCGCCTCGCCGCCTCGCCCCGTCCCGCCTCTTTTTGTGCTCGCTGTCCCCGGCCGTGTCCGCGGCCATGGCGCCCGTCTGGATTAGAAAGCACTCGGATTTGCATGCGGACGCCTTCCTCGGCCCCGACAGGGACGCCGTCGGCGTGCTGTCGCGGCGCGCGCACTTCGTGTCCCTGCTGCATAACTATGCCAAAGTGAGGTTATGAGATGAGCGAGGCCGTGCCGGCACCTGTGGGGCACACTGTGTGTGTGCGGCCGGGGTCGTCCGTCAAGGGGGGTGGGTCGAGGGGGGTGAGGGTGCTCGATTACTGTTTGGCTGCATTGACTCTTTCATTTGGTTTTACTGTGCTTTGCTTCTCAATTTAAAAGAGCACCGAAGTAATTTAGACAAAAAAAGATCAAAATCCCATTTTGAAAAATATTTTTTTGAAGAAAGAAATGCTTAGTTCATTGTTTTAACTGGTGTTTCTCTTTTTTTCAGAATCCCCCAGTCATGCCATTCTACGGCAACAACGTACCCGGTCAGCCTGGCAGTCAGATGGAGTCAGTCGCAGGGTTTGGACCCCCTCCCATGAGGGACCGCTTCGGTGGTTGGCCTCCCCAACCTGGTGACCCGGGCACTCTCAATGGATTGTCCTCCTGGTCACCAGCCCCTCCGCAGAGCCACAACTACATTCAGCAGGTTCCTCCCCATCATCCTCCCCCGCATCAAATTGATGAACTAAGACACTACCATCCTCAATATGCTGCAACCCCAGCCTATCAGGGTGCTGGTAAGATTCATTTGATTTTATATAATATTCTAACTTTAATTTTGGAATGTACAAAGGTTTTCAATTTGGTTTTTCTTCCTACCTTAACAGGTTACCAGCAGCCATTTCTTGTAGATCCCTCTCAGAATCCAGCCTTCCAGCAGCAGCCTCAGGCTCCACAGACACCACAAACTCAACTGCCGTATGGCACACCAACGAGCCAACCTCCATCTTCACCCGCTCAGCCCCCTCTTACCCCTCGCAGTAACTACTCTCAGGTATGACCTCACCTTTTCAACTTTGTGTCTCTTACTTTCATTTTGTTATACTTAATTTTTGGCATGTTGCAGGCTCACACACCTCAGCCTTCTCCAACTCCACATCAAGTGAATGGCATCAATGGCAACATTCCCCAAAGAAATGGTGTTAATGGATCATACTTGGATGCATCCCCAGTGCAGTCTATGGAGTATGTCAATGGATCATACACACCATCTCAGGTAAGTTCTCTTCGCTGTTTTTCAAATTACAAAAAGCCAAAAAAATTGCATTTTTTGATTTTTTTAATTTTTTTTTTTTTTTTAAAGGAAAATTCAATGGCACCACCAACTACGCCTACTCCTACAAGTCGTAGTAGTTCAGTGCACATGGACACTGGTGACTCCAATGGTAACATGAGTGTCAACGGATCGAGTCCCCACCACGGTATGAATGGTACCATGAATGGGCGCAAGACCCCCTCCCACAACAGCAACGCGCCCGGTTCGGGAAACGCGATGCCTGGATACCCGCTTCATCAAGCTCCCCCACAACTAATTCAGCAGAGTTTACACAACTCTAGTGGGTAAGTAATCATCGTACAAAACCAAAATAAGAGAAAGAAATCCTCATATATATATTTTTTTCCCCCTTAAAAATCAGTGTTGACAGATATTGACTTTATCTTTTCACAGGTATCCAGGCCAAGATATTTCTTCGGGAGCAGCAGGAGAAAATGGCATGTCTTCTCCTCTGTGGAATAATTCAAATGCGCCAACTACCAGCATTAACAATCATCAGCCCAATAACAACGCTGGAAGTGCCAACGCAAATGGAAACACAAATGCAAGTGCTAATAGATCTGTCTGGAATGGTGGTGGACAAGATCGGCCTCCGAGTTCCCTTGGGCACTCCCCCAAAATGGACTCAAGTCCTCACCAACATTATCAGCAGGATCAAAGCAACAGTAATAGCACCAGCCCAGTTAATAGTCGCTTGAAGACCATGATTTTGAACAAGCAGCAACAGCAGCAGCAACAGCAGCAGTACGGTCAGCAAATGCAACAGCAGCAGTATGGCCAGCAAATGTATGGGCAACAGCAGCAGCTAACATCACCTGGTGGAGAAAGCAATGGACAGCAAATGATGAGTCCTCCAAGACACTCAGACCAGTATGGTCAGCAAGCACAGCAAGGACACCATAGCAGGCCTCCGTCGAGGCAGTCCCCCAACCCCTCTCAAAATACTGCAGGTCATTTTTTAGTCGAAGGCCACCATCTTCAGAGATCAGTGATCCCTGAAGGTGGTGGCATCTGGGAGTGGGGAAGTGATAATTTACATGGAACTAATTTAAATCCTGTGTCGGCCATGGAAAATTTTGTTAAGTTTGCTGAACTTGGTGATGGTGGAGGAGAGGGATCAAACAGTGTGAAAGGATTTCAAGGAGGCCAGTTGGGGTTTCAAGGAATGAAAAGTGAAACAACTGTAAAGAGCGAATCAAAAACAGATGACATATGGAGTCATGAAAAGTCGCAGTATGAAAGGATATCAGAGCAGAATAGCATTCAAAACACAAATGATTTTTTTCTTAAAAAGACCTTGAGCCTAGGTCATTACAGCAATGAGGATGCAACCTCTGATACTATAAAAATTAAAGAGGAGCCTTACCTTTTTCGGGGTGATGGCGGCCCCATATCACTGGAGAAAATATCTGGTGCGTGGTGTTGCCGCCAAGGAGGAACTGATAAACCAACCCCAGAGCATTTACGGGATGGTTGCTGTCCAGGCCAAGGGCTTCAAACACTTGATGAGGTGGTGGATTCTGAATCGGAGAAACCTAAAGACAAAAATGTAAGTATCTCCTTACCTCATATGTATAAAATATTGTTTGGAAAAAAAAATCTTAAATCTATTGTCTTAAAAATTGACTGGATGAAATTTATGTGTTGATTTGATTTTAGGGTGATCAGTGGAGCCCAGAGACTTTGCCTTCTGGCACAACGAAGGATTTTCAAGACCACTTAGACCGACTTAGAAACAATGTACGAACTGAGGTGCCAGACTGTGACTGTTTCCCTGCCGATAAACTACCTCCAGAACCTGGTTCTTATTACACGCACTTAGGTGCAGCCAAGACCTTACCAGAGTTGCGGTGCCAGGTTGAGGAGAGATCTGGTTTCAAAGACAAAGCTGTTCGGATAGAGAAAGTACTTTATACTGGCAAAGAAGGGAAAACTACGCAGGGCTGTCCCCTTGCCAAATGGGTCATTCGACGATCATCAATGGAAGAAAAAATTCTTGTGATAGTAAAACATCGGCAGGTGAGTGGAATTTGCTTTAAGGAAATACTTTTCTTTTTGTTCTGATTATTGCTGTGATTTTGTTATATAAAAAATTGGTCCTTTTGCAGGGTCACAAGTGTTCAACTGCCTGGATTGTTGTTGTACTTGTGGCTTGGGAGGGTATACCCATCCAAGAAGCAGATCATGTTTACACCCTCTTATCCAACAAGTTAAATCGCTTTGGTCTCCCTACAACTAGGAGGTGTGCAACAAATGAACCTCGCACTTGTGCCTGCCAAGGACTAGACCCCAATTCATGTGGAGCATCTTTTTCATTTGGATGCTCTTGGTCAATGTATTATAACGGATGCAAGTACGCCCGTAGTAAAACAGTTCGAAAGTTTAGATTATCAGTAAGATCTGAGGTAACTACTTTATTTTTGTGTAGTTTTTTTTTATTTATTCAGAAAATGTGTGTTATTTGTTAAATACAACCTCCACTTTCTCTTAATCTGAAGGAACAAGAAGTGGAAGAAAGGATGCATAGTCTTGCCTCCCTGGTGTCACCTCTTTATCAGTCCTTAGCACCAGAAGCATTCCAGAATCAAACCCAATTTGAGCGGGAAGCATCAGAATGTCGTTTGGGTTTCAAAACTGGAAGGCCATTTTCTGGGGTCACAGCTTGTATAGATTTCTGCGCCCATTCGCACAGAGATTTGCACAATATGAATAATGGATGCACAGTGGTAAGTTAACACTCCATTCCACTACTCTAAACTTGATTTTAAAATTTTCTAGCAATTAGCTTTTTACTACGGCGAAAGGCCAAAATAGTTGCGCTTCCTGTAATGTTGAAATTTCTATGCAGGTCGTCAGTTTGACTAAGCACCGTAGTTTGTCTAAGCCCGACGATGAACAACTGCATGTTTTGCCCCTCTACATAATGGACGACTCCGATGAGTATGGGAGCAAAGAGGATCAAGCTGCCAAAGAGAAATCTGGGGCCATTGAAACATTATCCAAGTAGGTTCTTGTGTTCGATTTCTCTCCTTAAATTTTAGTTTTTGACAAAAACTGCAAACTTGCTCATGCGTTCTGTCGCATTGTTTCTTGTTGTTTAGGTACCCATGTGAGGTCCGCGTTCGCTCCGTTCCCCTGCAGCCCTGCCGGCGGCACGGCAAGAAGAGAGGCAAGGAGGAGGAGCCCCTGACTGAAGGCACTGCCGGCACCACCACCGTGAAAAAGGAACCGGGCACGTTGAAGAGCCAAGGGAACTGCGCGCAGGGAAGTGCCAGATCTGGAACCAATGCAACATCCTGTCAACAGAGCCAGAGCCCTGGCAACGCTGGCATGTCGCTTGAAATGGCCATGGAAGCTATGGAAGCCCAACTTCAAAGCTCACAGGTATACCTTCAGCCCATCACCCTTAAAGAGGTAAAATGGCACATTCCTACTACATTTTACCTCGAGTCGAGCCTTTCGATGCGCATGCAGTGGGAGTGTTTTCTCAGGCCTTCTTTTGGAACTGAAATGTGCCATGTCTGCAGGTCACTTCCACAGTTCTGGACAGCCCAGTCGCCATGTACCAGGGCTGGGGCTACGAGGCTTGGCCCCACGCCGGCCGCGCGCCCGGGCCTGCGGCCCACGCCTGGATGGGTGCCGACGGACAGCGCTGGCCGGACTACGCGCACCCGACGCGGACCTGCCTAGAGCGCGCGGACGCGGACAGCACCACGGCCGTGGCGTCCTGGGCCACGTCGCTCTCCCCCGCACAACCCGCGGCCAGAAGGGACTCCCTCGCCGGGCACTCGTTGGCCTGGGAAGGGGAGTCATCGTCACCGTCATCGGTGCTCGCCAAGAGCACCTCGTGCACCAAACGAACCGAGCCAGAAGAGGCTATGTCCTCGAGCCACAGGCTCTCCGCGTCGTCGGCGTCCTCGCTGAACCGCCACGACGCCCAGTCGCCGTCCTTCGACCTGCCGACCTCCGCCTTCTCCCCGTCGTCCGTCGCCGACCTGGGGTCCGCACCGACAGACCCCCTCGGCGAGGGCGACAAGTCCAGTGGGCGGCAGCAGCAGAAGAAGGCGTCGTCGTCATCGTCGTCCTGCTGGGGGGAAGGGGGCGACCCTCCCTCCCTTCAGTGGGATGGCAGCACGCCGTCGTCTCCCTTCAGAGTGCCCAAGGCGCGTCACGCCGCCACCGCCGCTGCCGCCACGCCGTTCGAGACCCCCAAGCTGGAGGCTGGTGCCGTGGCCACCGCGCCGAGTGCGCAGTGGGAGACGGGGTCGGCCTTCTCGAGCACGGCCAGCTCGGCCAGCCCGGGGGCGGCGGCGAGTGGCGGCCAGTATGGATCAAAGGGCGCCGGGACAGAGAAGTTCTGGATGGCAGGGGACTGCGCCCTGTCTGGTGGAGCGTCCAAATCGCTCGCGTTTGGATCACACGGCTTGAAGCAAGAAAGCATCTTCGATGACCCCAAACACCTCAGTGACTACCAGGCCTTTGGCGCGCACGGAGTGCACGGAGTGCACAACACTGCAGTTGCGAGTGCGGCCAACCCGTTTGCCTGCTCGATGCCAGGGCCAGGCCTTGGGCCAGGCTCTGCCTATGGGTACGGCTACGCGTCTATGTTCCCAGAATCGAAGGGGTTCAATGCCGGTTGGAGTGATCCTTATGTGGACCCACACTACGCACAGTTTCAAGGTAGGTCCTTTGACTTTCTTACTACTTGTGTTGCAGTCTTCGGTGTGCAGCGTGCCTAATTAGTGCCTCTCTTCCTAGGTCCGGCCATGAATTTAAACTCACTTTACGGTGGTGCGACGAGTCCATATCATTCTGCTTCGAGCTACATGCCCCCGGCCATGGCCACACCGTATGGGTTTGTGCCAGCCACCCGTTGGGATTTATATGCCCCCCCACCATACTTTCCAGTTGTTCCTGAAACACCCAAAGCTGAACCCATTGGGGAAGTTACAGATTTTGTTGACAATGAAGAGTGTTTTAAGGTAAGTGACTTGTTATGAAGCATGTACTTAATCTTGATCTGTATTTGTAATTTTATTATTTTTAAGACAAAAAATATTAAATAGAGTGTTGTATATTTCTTTACAGGATTCACAAATGGGAGGTGTGGCTATTGCTTTGGGCCATGGCTCTGTCCTCTTTGAATGTGCAAAGCATGAAATGCACGCTACAACTGCCCTCCGTAGGCCTAATCGTCTTCAACCTACCAGGATTAGTCTGGTGTTTTATCAGCACCGAAACCTGAATCGTCCCAAACATGGTTGGGACGAGTGGGAAGAAAAAATGAGATTACGCAAGTTGGGTGTCTCCACCAATACTACAGGCACTAGCACCTCCAGCTCAAGGCCTGCTACACCTATCCCTACAAGTCACGTGTCTGCTCCTGCCTCCGCAGAACCTCTACCCTGTAAGCCAGTGAGCTTAAAACGTTCCTCTCAATTCATGATGAGGACCCCCACCTTTACTACCACAACGTGGACAACTTTATTTCCCATGCACCCTTGTGTGGTAACAGGTCCTTACCAAGAAGGCTCAATTGTAGGCTAGCTTACAAAACAAAAGCCTTGTACCAAAGATTGGAATGAATTTCTTGTGTCTGATGCTAGTGATGCTGAATGCCTTTCTGAACTGTTGAAGCTCTAGGAGTCATCTCATTGTTAGAAGTAGTGGGATTGGGATGCTAGTAGGTTGTTGATTGTTCCTTTAATCACATATTGTATTGCCTTTTCTCCAGCTTATTGCCAAAGATGTTATTTTCTCTCTCAAGCTGTGACATGAAGTAAACTGCTGATGTTCAGTTACTGCATTTGCCGCCTTTGTGGATATACTGAGTGAGCAAGTGGATAGGTATACAATAGTAAGCAAAATGCAGTTGCCAAAAGTGTCATATTTTTGTATCAATTATGTATTAGTTACATCTTTATTGCCCAATACCATGTAACATGCAATGCGATCTTAATGTCTAGTACAAGAATTAAATCGTTTTGTATTGTACACTTAAGGACAAATTTCATTGTAACTGGTATACCTGTTCTATTTTTTTTATTATTTATTTTATCAATTGCTCATCTTTGAGCCTGTTTTCATTGAATGTGAAAAGTCATAGGATTAAGGTAAAATTCTCGTAGGAAATACTGAGTCAGTGTACATAAATATATAAATATATATTCAAAAAAAATATATTAACCAATGAACTTGCGATATGTTGATTGCAATATTCTGTTCTTGCGTTGTTGCAAGATGCTTGTTGTGTATGAGGTTAATGATGAGAGTGACATTACTACTTTTATTTTTGACCTCAAGGAGATGATTCTATTTTAGAACAAAACTTCAGTCTAAAACTAAAGGAAATGGATTCATATTTTTGACAAAAGTTGATATGAGAGAGGAAAATATTTTTAGGTTGTTGGTCATAGAATGTGAGAACTTAAGTGAGTGCAAGCTAGTGTGATTGTGTCTGTATATATTGATATAAGAGTGTTACAATGAGAGTGAAAGTTTTCTTTTCCTGTTTTTGTTTTGTTTTAATTTCAGCTCTTGCATTTATTCGCCCACCATATCCCCCAGAAAAGTAGGAGATTCTGTTTGTGGCATGTGTCTGTCTCATTTAATGTTATCATTATAACAAAGCTCCTTCTGTATTTCTTTGCTCAAATTTATCTGATTGTGCCATTTGAGATTGCATCTAAAGCCAAGCAATCTGAGCAAAGTTATAACAACACTGCTGTTTTAGTCCTGGTATGGCCCTTACTTCTGCGTGCCAAAAAGCTTCTGCTTTAGCTAGTCCTCTGCTTCAGCCCTCTAGTATGTTAAGATGAAATAGATTCGCTGATGAATTCTTAGGAATATCATTTGTCACTGCCAATGCATTCTTACTCCAACACTTCATTTTCACTGCCATTTTTTTTTTTTTTAAATTATTTTGAAATTGTAAAGTGCTATTGAATTGGCGTAAAATATTTCAATCTACAATTAATTATTGGTCTTGGAGTTAAGGTGTGAACTATGATCTCACAAGCATGTGCCATTCAGCTTGTTAAGGCATTTTATGAGTTTTTATCCTCAGTCACGCTTTTGCAAGAGCCTATGCCCAATGCTCCATCTTCTTTAAGGTGTTTTTTTCTTTTTCACATAGCAAACAAATGTCTCACATCATCTTTGCTGATATAACTATTACCTTAATTTCTAGACTGAACTTAACTTTAGGTTAATCTAGCTTGTAATGATTTTGTTTGTTTGTTTGTTTGTTCAAACAGCTCTTTTGACTTGAATTTTTAGGACTTGTGTGTTTTGTACATAAGAATATACTCTCATCATGGGCTAATGGCACGCAGATAGTAGAAGCTACCATCAGGGTCAGCATCCTCATTCCAGATACAATCTTTTTATAAGTTGACTAAGATGATAAATTTACTCTATACCCCTGTAATCTCAATGTAGGTGATTGTCTACATTTACATCCTTGTTTCTGTTTGCATGATATTAATTACAAAAAAAAATCATTAGTTTGTGGACCTATTTTCATGATCTGAGTGCAAATAAACTTTCCATGGAATCAATGTATAACTGAATCTAAGTTGAACTGTGGATCATTGGGGTGGAAATTAAGGTCCTCCTTTTCTTTCCTTCCGATTTCTTTCTTTTGTAACCCCTCTCTCAGGTCAGCGTATGTTGTGTTTGTACATATACAATACTTTGTATCTTATTTAACTAATTATTTATTTATTTCTATTGAATTTTTTTGTCAAATCTAGTGATGGTATCCTTATTTGGAATTATAAGTAGTATTTATTTTCAGCCATTTTCTTTTTCTTCATTTTGATTTAAAATTACACTTTGATTGTTCCTGTTTTTGTTTCTGTGGTATATATATAAATATGATTGTATGTATATCTTCTTACTTTCTCAATCAAGGCATATCTTAGAGCATTCTGCTCTTCAACCAGCTTCTATTATGGAGTGATTCATTTGTGATTTTCAATTTTATTAGTGGGAATTTGAAACGATCTAAGTCAGAGTATGTTTTCTCTTTCTCAGGTGTAAATGATCTTTTTATGTTTGTGATGATAATGTAAACCAAATACTAATGTAGTTTGGCTTTGCCTCAAGTACATATATCGGTTCTGTTTCGTTTAAGTCACAATCTTGATTTCTTTCAGTCACTTTATTAAAATCACTCTTTCTTTTTGCTGTTGATGAAATACCATCACACAGTGCTGAATACTGCTTGTGTGTTGAGAATGTATGTAACATTCATGTATTGTTTAACTGGTTGCCAAGTGATGAGATTATGATGCATACTCACTTGCACTTCTGTTTACAGCACTTGTCATAACTATCGCACAGATGCTAGGTGTGTCCCTTTCCTTGATATTTTTTTTTTCTGTTAGCTTTTTGATGACCTTTGTCAGTTCATTCTGCCATAACTGAAGGTTTTTGTTTATGTAAGAGAAACAAATATAAGTGCCAATAAGCGAATGTGAGTGGTAGTTTGAGACCCCCTCGACCCTTGTAGACTGTTCTGAATATCTTGCGTTTTTTCCTAATAACTGTTGTAATGATTGATGCCCTCATAGGGTCCTTTCAGTTTTTTTCTTTTAAATTAAATTTCTCAAACTGAAAAGGAATTGATACTTAAAATGTGGTTGGCCACTTTTTATTTTGCTCTAGTTATAAAATATTATAAATGAATGTTCTTGAGTGGTAACTAGTGGAGTTAAAATTTATCTATTGTTGCCATTCACACAATGGAGAGTTATACAGTATCTTGGTATGTCTGAGACGGTATCAGAGAATATCTCAGATTATTATTAGGTTGAACCAGTAAGGATACCTGTTTTTGGCATTTGTTTCATCAACATATATTTTTGACACAAAAGAATGAGCTTTGTATTAATCTGAAAGACTAACTGGAAATTTTAAATTTTTAAATTTATTTAAATCTGTTAATGTAGTCACTCTTTTTGTACTGTGCGTTAGATGCTCTTAGTGTTCTGCATATGTATTTGCTTTAATGATTAATACTGTACAAAAGCATGGGGGCTATTGATTCATGGCAAAAGATGTTACTAGTAAATTATATGGATGATGTAAGGATATCTCTGTGACCAAATAGAATCAAAATGCTAGGCAAGTTAACAAATTGTCTAAATTATGGGGAACTTGAGAAGTAAGAGAATACTAATGGAAGTTGTTACCTTCTGCCCTCGTATTCCAATCACAAAGTGTTTTTAAAGTTTAAAGAAATTAAGTTATTATGAGAATCATAGACGTAGATTTTAGGGCCTGTTGTGAAAACTCCTGTCTTCATGTGCTAGGTGTACTTGTTTTAATGTGAATATAGCAACATTTGTGGAAAACCATAATATTTGTTAGATGATTTCTCCCCACCCTACTAACCACACAGGGTTAGCCACACACCGCCCAAAGCAATCAAACTCCAGGGGAGAGCAAGCAGCGCTCTGCCGCAGGGGTGCATAAATGTAAATGGAGAACAATATTTGAAGGAAACGAAATCCAAAACATAATGATAAGTACACATTCAAAAAGGTACCCATTTCGGCAGCCCGTCACTTGGGCAGAAATCTAGAATGGTAATTCACTAAGTGACGTGACAACAAAAACAGCAAAATCCGTAACCACCTCAACTCAATGAATAATCCTTGCTGATGATCCACCAAGACAGGCGGTCATTCATTCAGGTACCCATCGGGTAGAGTGCTTAATGACAACAAGACAATGGTTTTAAGTTGAATATATTACAAAACATTTGGTACAAATTGAAAGGGATGCTTACCGGTCGACTCGACATTGGGAGCGGCGAGCGGCGCGAGTGGGCGGGGGTGGCGGGGGCGGTGAGAGGTGGAGAGGTTGAGGTGAGGAAGAGGAGAGTTGTAAACAGTGGTGTTTCCTCCCCGGAGTCGGACCCTCGACCGCGCCGCTCCCCCCCCCCCCCCCCCCACTCCTCTACAAGAAGTAGAACGCCACCAGACAGAGAGCCTAACCTCCCCCTCCACCTCCTATCTGTCATAAAAACACAAGCAGAAGAGAAGCAGTGCAGCAGGCCTAACAAAGCAGCTTCTAGCAAGACTGTAGACTCAGCGTGGATAGTCTTTATCTACGAGTTTTCTCCTCCTCAGCCGCACCCTGGCTGGCAGACTACGGAAATGATTTGATTTTGATTTTGCCAGCGAGACAACGCCCTGCCCTCGCCCTGCACCAACGCTGCGCTGCACCCACTGTGAAAGATGGGTGCCCGTGTTGTTCCTGTGGCTAATCCCCAAGTCCGATATGAGCATCTTGGTGGAGAGCCTCCGTAAGTTTTGCTGCATTTCTCTTTGATATTGTTTTATTTTGTTGCGTTTTTTGTCCGCTTGAGTTTTGCTCTTCTTACTGTTGACTTGCAAGGGATGTCATTGCATGCCCTATATGGGGTCCGTCAATACTATATCACAATGCATTTGTCCTTTCCAGGAAATTCAAAGGAGCTTTTAAGCAGTATATTCTGTTTGGGTTGGCACTTACTCTCGTTGTGCTTTTAGTACTGGTTACTGCGTACAATGGATGGGAAGAATTTTCCCAAGCAGAAAAGAAGTTGAAGGCTGACGATGTTGACTTTGTGATGTATGGTCCTGTCAGAACGGAGCTAGGTAAGTTTACGCGTTTGTCTTTGTTGCTTTGTTCAAATCATTAATCAGTGCCCACAAGTGAAGGAAATTAGTTTGAACTACGCTGATAGTAAATTTATATTTTTGTGCAGGTGTGCAGGGCATACAAGAAAGACGTGCTGATGTCTATGCCAAGGCTTTTAACAGAAAGCATCAATTCTTGTCTAAGTCCTCAAACACTGCTAATGTTAAGCCTGATGATGAACAGTTACTGCCTCAAGCTACTGAGAATAGATCAAGTCCTACCCCAGAAGGCTTCAAATTTGTCTGTTATTATGCACTTCCTTCAAATACTAGTATGCTCGAGGCCAATACTTTAAAACCCAATGATTTGGATGCACATCTCTGCACTCACATTAATTTGGCATTTGCAAGTGTTTCAAGAAACCGTTTGGTGCCCACCAATCCTTATGATATTGAGGTGAGAAATCTGCTCTTCAACTTGCACTCACTCGCTCTCTCTTCCACTAATTATTGTTTTTCAATCTTTGCTTGCAGAGCTACAAACAAGTAAATCAGCTCAAAATCCAAAACCCACGACTAAAAGTTTTGCTTTCTGTCAATGGTGACATGTCTCAAGTGATTCAAAACCATGCTTCACGTAAATCGTTTATCAAATCTGCATTGGATGTACTCAGTCAACACAACTTCGATGGCTTAGATATTGATTGGGAGTTTCCAGATGATGCATGGAAGTTCATGATTCTGCTTGCTGAATTTCGTCAGGAATTTGGGGATCGTTATCTTTTAACTGCGGCAGTAGCTGCTCCTCAAACCATTGTAGACTTATCTTACAAGATAAATGTTATGTCCAGGTACGTCTCTTACAGAAAATCTTGAAAACCTCTGTCTACCTGTGAATGTTTACTAACTACCAGACTTCTCTTTCAGATATGTGGATTGGGTGAATATCATGACTTATGATTTCCACTTTTATACAAGATATACTCCATGGACTGGATTGAATTCGCCTTTGTTTAGTGGTCCTGCTGACAAAGGAGTCTTCTCTAACTTGAATACCAATTGGACTGCACACTATTGGATGGAGAATGGTATGCCCCGTCAAAAAATTGTCATTGGCATTCCGACCTATGGTCATACCTTCAAGTAGGTGTTTTGACAATAAAATCTGTCCCCTATTTGGGCTGCGTCAATTTTCTTATTGCATTGTGTTTGGATAAATTTAATTGTAACACTTTTTTGAAATTCCAGATTGGTAAATAAGAAAAATAGTGGCCTTTACGCTCCATCATCCAGCTTTGGGGAGGTTGGAGGATCGGGAGGTTTTATTGACTATGGCGACGTCTGTACATTCTTGACCACTGGAGATGTGACTCAAGTATTTGATCGATCAACAAGAGCCCCATTTGCTTTTAAAAATTATGACTGGGTTTCCTACGATGACGAAAGAAGTGTTGCTTATAAGGTAATTTTGAGTTACTCATTGAATTTAACAAAGTTCCTTTTTACTATGTTCATGCTACTATGCTCTTGTTGTTATTCTCAGGCCGAGTTTGTAACCAATAAAGGATTTGGTGGTGCTATGATCTGGGCCTTAAATTCGGATGATCACAAAGGATCATGTTACCAGTCGGGTATCAGATTCCCATTGGCCAACAGAATAAAAAATGTTTTGACTGATGATCAATTATAATTAGCAGTTGCTTTGTTTCATCTATTATTCTACATGCTAATTTTTACAACAGTTCATCTCCCCACGATCTAAACCATGGTGGCCTAGTTATTTTATAACTATGATAATTTACTTTGTTGCGGTGGGGGGCAGTTTATGCCTACTTACAGACTTAACTTTCCCTTTGCACTTGGATGAATTTTACAATTCTCCAGTTCTGTGAGACTGCTCTCCTGTCAAAATACCCCAGTTCTTATTTTAACTTTCAAAATTTATTAACATCTGTGATTAGTTAATTTGACCTCTTTGGTATTTAAACTGTGATTTGTACCCCTGGATTCTCAAGGATTACTTTTTCAGGAGGATTAAAATTGCACTGTTTTACTGGTTTCTGAGGAGCTCCAACTATTTCATACCAATGGATGCCTTTCTATAAATAATATTGTGACAGTGGATGCTGATTTAGGACTGAATTGTGTTCATGAACTGATGTTAAGGTACTTACAAATTTAGACTTTAGTGGCTAAAGGCTTCAGTACTGTAATTTTACCTGATAAGTTATAAACCTAATTTGCATTTGTTTTTGCCTGTCACTTTGTGTGCGATTGTAAAGTGCGCTTGACCTTAAGACGACACAGCGAAAAAAGGTCTTTTAATATTTATGTGTGTTGATTTAGTTATAAAATTTTATGTGTCTGTTGTCATAAGTTTGTATGGACTTATAATCATGATTTTATAGCATTTTTTTTTTGTGTGTTAAGTAAGTGTTGTGACTGTTTCAGTATTATCTCATTCCCATGCTGTGTTCGTGTGCCAGTAACTTTGTTTAGTAAAATGAGATTAAAGTTCTTATGTATGTCTCTTTTAATCTCGCCAAACTGTGACTTGTGTCCGTTCCTTGGTGATATTTTTTATATATGTCCACTTCATACCATTATGTTTGTTTCCCTACCAAAATTTTGAAAAAGACAAAATATAATTGATATGTTGATATGTGATACTAAGCCCAAGTGTAGCACACTTTTGTAAATTTTTTAGAAACCAAAATAGAACATTTGAAAACATTCCTTGTTCAAAATCTCTCTTTTAGGGAGTTTCTACTGTGGTGACAGTCACTTGGTGACTTTTATTCAGTCTTGATCTACCTTGTTACGGAGAAATTTGTGTTGCAGTGAAACTCATTGAATACATGAGTGAAGAAGAAGAGTGCTACATGTATTGTTCATTGTCCATGAAGGTGTAAATGAATAAAGTAGGACTTGAAATAACTGGTTTCAATGGTTCATTATTGACCGCCAATTACATATCACATCACAGTTGCACTCAAGCAGTTATAACAATGATGAATCAATCATTTAGGCACTAATCATATCAGCACTGTCTTAACAAATACACTTAGATACAATTACATTAAATATACATACATATACACACAAACTTTTACAAAATACAACACCTTTCTTTTAGTTTTGGTTGATCAGTCACAACATCGTTGAATTTCACACTGATTGAGTCTTATTTGACGTGAAAATCATTCTGATGTCACCTTAACCGCTCCCATCTGCAAAGAATTATTTTTTTGAGGAACCATACAATTTTGAAAATCTCTAGTTTGGCTGACATGTTTTCATGCACTGACTTACCTGTTGTACGAGCAGCATACAACACAACTTGCAATGAGAGTCGCTATCCCAATGAAACAGGCGATTGCCAGGACCCAAAGCTGGATCCACGTCGCTTCGGCCTTGGCCAGGGCTGGGGCGCAGCGCTAAATAGAAACAAAAACACTAAATTAGAAACGGCGGTCCGTCGACACTCAGAGGGCCGCCTCGCCGCCCGAACGGTAGGCAACCCATTCGGCGTCCGGAGCCACTCACCTGGACAGCTCGCACGTGGAAACGGTCGTACACCGCGTTGAGCTCGTCGTTGTTTTTGTCCATCAGGAGGGACTCCATATCAGAGAGATCATAGTTTTCCCGGCCAACAAGCTGGAAGCAGGAGCTGCAAGGACAGAAAAGATAAAGTAGCATCTAACTGCTAGCATGAGGTTGTATCGGTGGACGTTGACGGGGGGCTTGTCGCTTACGTACCTCGTGCTGCTGAAGTCGAGGCTGCCGTCCTGCTTGGCGTAGAACTGCGTGTCGTACACGTTGAGCTGCACGGGCAGCAGCAGGGCCTTCTCGACCAGGCGCTGGAATTCGGGCAGCGAGCGGCGCACGTCGGACGGCGGCTTGGTGAAGACGAACTTGAGCAGGGCGCGGTCGCGGACGACGAACACCTGCGGGCGAATCGCAAATGGACGGTGAAATGAAAGCAACCGAGTTTGCTGGGGCATGAAAAGGAGAGCTCGCGTTGCCTGAGGGTGCAGACTGATTCCGAGAGTCGTTTTCGTCGCTCTGTCTCTCTCGCACTCATGAGGCGTCCCGACTCTCAGAATCAGCCAGCTGTCCGTCCTTCGCTTCGCACCTTGACCGTGGCGTTGGCCCTCCTGGCGGTGCTGGCGGTGCCGTTGCCGTCCGGCGTGTTGCTGGCCGCCACCTGCAGCGTGAAGTAGCCGTCCACGAACTGCTGCATGCCCTGCGCCGTGCGCAGCTCGCCGCTGCTCTCGTCCAGCCTGAACACGCTCTTGACCTGCTCGGGGGTGTGGCTGAAGGCGCTGCGGCTGTCCAGCAGGGGCTGGAAGGCGGTGGCGGACAGCCAGTAGCGCATGGGCGCCGAGTCGGCGTCCGCGTCCTCGGCCTCCAGCGTCACGAGGGAGGTGTCGACGGGCACGTTGAGGCGCACGCCCAGCGTCAGGTTGGCCCTGGACGCGGGGAAGGCCGGCGCGTTGTCGTCGATGTCTCGCACCACGACGCGGACCTGCCGCTCCGACGGGTCCTGTTCCAATCAAGATACAGTGTCAGTACTACAGTGCCGCCCAGGAGACAGTGCACCTCGAGACTCGAGATTTTGGCTGGGCTACCTGGCGGTTGTACGGCTTGCGCAGACTCTGCGGCCGCGCACTCTTCTTGAAGCACTTGACGGTGATGAGGTGCTCGGCGGCCTGCTCGCGGTCCAGGCGCCGCGCCACGTGGATGACGGCGCCGTTCTGCGGCGTGCGGCTCACCGAGAAGAGGTCGTGCTCGTTGCCGTCTGCGAGCACAGAGTCACCGCCGTCAGCCCCTCAGCGCGCGAAACGAAGGCGAGCAAAGTGACTTCCCGTCCGACTTACAAGTGATGAGGTAGTCGATGAGCGCGTTCTCGTCGATGTCCTCGTCCACGGCGGTCAGGTTGCCCACCACGGCACCGACGGGCTGCTCCTCGAGCACCGTCATCACCAGGGGGCTCTCGTCCTGCGGTAATTGTTAGACATTATCCTTGGAACATTTTTCAAAATCCGTGGGGGGCAAAGCAGGAGCAGACTGCTCACCACGGAGCGCTTGAAGATGGGCTTGTGGTCGTCGACGTCGGTGACGTGCACGGTGAGGAGGCGCGTGGCCTGCTGCGGCACGTCGCCCTTGTCCGCCGCCACCAGCAGCAGCGAGTACTGCGCCTTCTGCTCGCGGTCCAGGGGCGTGCGCGTCGTGATGAGTCCGGACGAGGGGTCTGCAGACGAGGCGAACAGAACAGTGTACAGTCAGGGACAAAACGAAAGCGCGGCGCAACGGGGGAGCAGCGGAAGACTCACTGATGCTGAACACGGACGCGTCGCTGCCCGTCTTGCCGTCCTCCAGGAACCTGTACACCAGCATGCCCTCCGGGGTCTTGGGGTCGTCAGGGTCCGCGGCGACGACGCGGAACACGGGGGAGCCGATCGAGGCGTTCTTCAATCGCCAAGATGGATCGAATTAAAAACACGCAGGCAAAAGACTTGCAAGAGCCTCGTGGGCGACTGGGCGTGCTACTCACCTCGGAGACGTAGGCCACTTCATCCAGGGCGGGGTGCACGAAGCTGGGCACGCCGTCGTTGCTGACCACGTCGCCGATGTGGACGCTGACGGCGGCGTCGGAGGACAGGGCCGGGTTGCCGGCGTCCTGCGCGCGCACCGTCAGCGCGTACGGCTGCCGCCGCCCCTTGCCCGTCAACGGGGTCGCGATGCGCAACTGACCCGTGGCGCCGTCGATGGAGAAGAGTCCTGCACCCGAGAAATCATTTTCAGCATCCCCAGTCAAAGCACAAAACACACTGGAGACAATGGCGGTGAAGCTAACCGTTGGCCTCGCCCTGGTCCACCAGCTCGTAGGTGATTTCCGCGCCGGCGCCCTCGTCGGGGTCGGTGGCGGCCACGGTCAGCACGCCGCTGCCCACGGGCATGTTCTCCGGGATGACGGTGGAGTAGGCGCGCTTGCTGAACTGCGGCGCGTTGTCGTTGACGTCCAGGATGTCGACGGTGACGGGCACCTGGCTGCGCCGCTGGCCCGCGCCGCCGCCGGGGGTGTCGGCCGCCACCACGAACAGCTTCATCTGCGACTGGCGCTCGCGGTCCAGGACCGCGTCGGGCGCCACCTGGATGCTGCCGGACAGCGGGTCCACGAGGAACGAGCGGGCGTTCTCCCCGGACAGCGAGTATCGCACGTCGCCGAAGCCGCGCTCGGAGTTGGCGGCGTCGCCGTCGGTGGCGGACACGGAGAGGATGTGCGCCGGGTAGCGCGTCGACTCGAGTACGCTCGTGTGGTACGACTGCAAGAGTCAATCACGTTTGCTTGAGTTATGCCTCTCAGCTTGTAACGACAACCTCGATGCAGGATACTCACGTTCTCCGCGAACTGGGGCGTGTGGTCGTTGATGTCCTGGACGGTGACGTGGATGGTGGCCGTGCTGGTGCGCCGCTGGTCCTCGCTGACGGCCTCAATGCTGAGCGCCACGGCGGGGTTGCCGTCGGCGTCCTTGTGGGACTCCAGCGCCTCGAAATCCAGGCGGCGCTGCAGCACCACGTTGCCGCTGGCGGTGACGCTGGCCCAGGTCGGCACGGAGCCGTCGTCCTCGGCGGAGATCTGGAAGCGGCGGATCGCCCGGCCTCCTGCAGCAGAACGGATGTATAATAAAGTTTTCACTCCCAGCGTCAACAGCAGCAAGTTGTGCTGCCCCAAGAAGACGTACCGTCGGTCGGGTCCTGCGCGGCCAGCATGGCGATGACGGAGCCCCGAGGCTGCTCTTCGGGCACGGACACCTTGATGACGGGGTTGCCCGGCGTCCATCCAGGCGCCGTGAACAGCGGGTTGCCGTCGCTGTACTCCTCCACGTAGATGGTGACCTCAACGCGGGAGACCTGCGGCTTGGCGTTCTTCAGATCCATTCGCGCGTTCAAGTCGCGTGCCTGCACCGTGAGCGTGAAGATGGCGGCGGACTGGTGGTCCAGGGGGCCGTTGACGGATACCTCCCCGGTGGCGGGGTCGATCTTGAAGGCCTGCTTGTAGTCGTAGGCGGCGCCGGGCGCGAGCGGGACGCCCGTGCGGTCCACGGCGTGGATCGGCTCCACGATGCTGTACTCCAGGCGGGCGTCCTTGTCGGGATCCTCCGCGTGCACAGTGAGCACGGCCTGGCCTGTGGGGCATGCCGTCAAGGGCCTCGGTTAGAGGAAGAGGGGCCTGGCCGAGGGCCCGATGTCCACCCCCGACTCCGAAACTCACCAGGCTGGGCGCGCTCCGAGACGTGTCGCGTCAGGCCATCCGCCGCGTCGAACACGGGCGGCTTGTTGTTGACGTCCTTGACGTTGACAAGCACGGTGGCCGAGGCCGTCTCCCGCACGGGCAGCCCGCTGTCCACGGCCAGCACGACCAGGGAGTAGCGCCAGACGCCCGTCTCTTCCGGGTCCAGGCGCGCCTCGGGGGCCACCGTGATGATGCCGGCCCTGAGGGAGAGGGACGCCATTTTTGGAATTTCTATTTCGCTGCACGCGTTCCCAGAGAGTACTCCACACGCCCGTCGCATCCTACCTGCTGTCGATGTTGAAGTTGTCTTTGGCACCGCTCCCCGCCGCGATGGAGTACGTGATGAGAGAGTCCTGACCGTCGGGGTCCGTGGCGGTGACCCGGAGCACCTCGGCGTTGGCCGGGGCGTCCTCGCTGACCACGGCGTCGTACTGCGTGGCGTTGCTGCTGCCGCGAAACACGGGCCGCTGGTTGCCCGGCACGCCGACGCGCACCGTCACCGTGGCGTCGCTGTGCTGCTGCTTGGGGTGGCCGAAGTCCGTGGCGCGCACCGTCAGCTCGTACTGGCCGCGCGGCGTGTGCGCGGCGCTCACGGCGACCGTCATGCGCACCTCGCCGGTCGTGGGCTCCACCACGAGCACGCCGTCCGCGTTCGAGGACGTCACGGAGTACGAGACGCGGCCGCCGCCCTGCAGAGGGCCGTCGCCGTCCGTCGCCTGCGACAGAGCGCGTCGTCAGCACCGCGACGAGACACGAGCAGGACAACCACACCACCCTCACACTCACCCTCAGGAACATGGCGGGCTGGAAGCTGGTAGCGCCCTCGCGGACCGTGCGGTGGTAGTCGGCGTGCTCGAACACGGGGGCGTTGTCGTTCTCGTCGAGCACGTCCACGAACACGTTGACCGTGGTGACCCTGCCGCCGCCGGGCCCGCCGTCCCTGGCCTCAAGGCTCAGCGAGTACGAGCGCTCGGCCTCGTAGTCCAGCGGCTGGCGCACGTACACTCCGCCCTGCTCAGGGTGCGTCCGGAAGCGCTCCGCGCCGAAGCCCTTCAGCGAGTACGTGATGCGGCCCAGGGCGCCGCTGTCCCGGTCCGAGGCCGCCACGTCGAGCACCTTGGTGCCCGGGGGCGCGGCCTCGGAGACGCGGCCGCGGTACACCCCCTGCGCGAACACCGGGGAGTGGTCGTTGGCGTCCAGCACATCCAGGATCACGCGCGCGCTGCCGAACTCTTCCTCGTCGCCCTGAAAGACAGCATCATGTTCAGTCAGCGTGAGTCGAGTGGAACCCCAGGCAGGGACGTGCTTGCGTGCGTACCGTCTCGCCCTTGGCGTGCACCACCACGTCGAACTCGATGCGGCGCAGCGCCGGGTCGTCCACGTCGTAGTCCAGGCCGTCCTTGCTGACCACGCGCACCACGACGGGCGTCCTGCCGTGGCCGCTGGTCGGGTGCACGCTGAACAGCCCCTCCGAGTTGCTGACGTCACGCAGGGACAGGGCGTAGCGCGCGTTGTCGCCCAGGTCGCCGTCGAGCACCACCATGTTGAGGCCCGGCAGCGTGCTGCCCACGGCTGCAAACATTCAAACCACATTAAAAGTCGCTTCATCGTGGGGTGCTGCACACAGTGGGCCGGAGGTGGCCAAAATTCCAGACGCGTTTTCAGCTCCAGAGTCGTTAAATGGGACTCGAGCCGAACCAATGGATTTCTCGTTCGAAGAGAAATGGGTCACACATTCGGTTCGGATCCTATTTTGTCACTCTGAACTGAAGCTCAAAACGCGTCTGGAATCTTGGCCGCCTCCACTGGTCTTCTGGCCCACTGTGCTGTGTTGCCCCCGCGAGGCCCGTTGCGTTCGTTACCCACCGATGTCCTCGGACACGTTGAGGTGGAAGTAGTCCTCGTTGAACTCGGGCAGCTGGTCATCCACGTCCGTGACGACGATGGTGACGTCGGCCACGCTCCACTCGGCGGGCAGCTCGTTGTTGATGAGCTCGGTGGCGCGGACGCGCAGCGTGTAGATGCCGCCCGACAGCATGAGGCTGCGGTGCTCGCGGTCGATGGGCACGTCGGTGGTCACGAGCCTGGCCGTGGTCGTGCGGTCGCGGCTCGCGTCCGGCTCCAGGGCGAAGTAGCCCAGCTCGTCGTCCTCCAGGGACAGCACGACGGGCCGCGGGTCGCCCAAGTCGCCGTCGCGCGCGCGGATCACGGCCACCACCTTGCCCTGCAGGGAGAAGGCATCAGCATCCGTCTCTCTCGCACTCACGGGGCGTACCATGGCGGTGGGTGCGAGAGAGACAGAGCGGCCACTCACCGGCGGCGTCCCCTCCGGCACGGTGGCCGAGTAGGGCGCGTTGAGGAAGACGGGGGCCTGGTCCTGGACGTCGGTGACCTGCACGGCGATGCGCGCCGTGGTGGACAGCCGCTTGGAGGCGTCGGACGCGCCGTCCGTGGCGCGCACCTGGAGCGTGTACGCGGACCGCTGCTCGAAGTCCAGCGGCCTCTGCAGCGTCACGATGCCGCGGTACTGGCCCTCGCTCACCTGGCGAGAAAAACACGAGTTTAAAAAAAGGAACAAAGGCCATGAGGTGGTCGCTGGCTGACGAAGACGAAGTGCTCGCGTACCTTCTCCGCCTCCACCTTGAAGTACTTGCAGGCGTTGTCTTCGGGCCCGCTGGGCACGCACGACAGGCTGATGTCGGCGTTGAGGCCGCCGTCGGCGTCCCCGACCACCACCTTGTCGTACAGCCTGGCGCCCACCTTGGCCGCCTCGGACACGCTGAAGGAGTAGGGCCGGCCGCTGAACACGGGCGCGTTGTCGTTGACGTCCAGCACGGAGATGTCCCGGCGCAGCGACACCGTGTTGGGCTCGGACCCGTCCACGCCCTCGTCTGGAAACCGGCAACGGCGGCAACCGTGAGACTACTACCGCCAGCACTGCTTTCCCTGCTTCTTTGACTTGGTCTCCCGGCCGAACTAACGTAAACGAACAACTTTTTTCCGAGACGCCAGGAGTCTATATCATTTCTCCTACCTAAATGTTCGCCTACCTGTCTATTTCGCCTACCTATATTTCGCCTACCTAATAAAAATATTGAATAAAAATATTCAATAAAATATTGCCATTTTTCGCCTACCTATAGTTCGCCTACCTAATAAAAAAATTAAATAAAAATATTCAACAAAAAAACGAAAAAATCGGCGGCAAAAAGTGGCAATACGAAAGTCTCAAGGAGACCCGCCGATCAGCTTCGGTGTTCTTATGGGAACCGGGCCTTCATCCGACGCTCCCTGCCGCGCAATTCGACAGATTAGTGGGTTCGTATTAGGCTGGCCCACCCGAAGTGCGCGCGGTTTCTGTGGTACAGTGAGAGTCCAGATTCAGAGGCCTTACCTCAGAGGGGTCACATTGGGTATTTGAACCCGCGACCCCGAGTGCCGACTCTAGTCAACTCCTCTACCCTGACCGCTCAGCCACCGAACCAGCTTGTCGGCGGCGATGTCGCAACTCCTCTTGAGCTGCCGTTCGAGAAATCTGGTCCCGAAAAAATAGTACTTTGAGCGGTCTCGAACCCGGGACCTGCTGCTTCCCACATCACGCTCTTAACCACTGAGCCACCGGGACGCCATGGCACCCGCCTTGCCTGCGCTGGTACTCAATCTTCTCTGGATATACCTCCGCAAGCAATTGGTCGCCGAAAAAATTGCGTATACTACCGGTCCCGAACCCGGGACCTGCTGCTTCCCACATCACGCTCTTAACCACTGAGCCACCGGGACGCCATGGCACACGCCTTGTCAGCGCCGGTACCCAATCTTCTCTGGATATACCTCCCCAAGCAATTGGTCGCCGAAAAAATTGTGTATACTACCGGTCCCGAACCCGGGACCTGCCGCTTCCCACAACGTGCTCTTAACCACTGAGCTACCGGGGGATCATGGTGCCCGCTTCGCCAGCGCTGGTACTCAATCCTCTCCGAATAAACCTCGTCAAGAAGTCGGTTGCCTCTGCCGAAAAATATGCTCATGGTACTAGTCTCGAACCCGAGACCTGCCAGTCAGGAACGCAGCACTCTAACCACTGCGCTACCAGGTTGCTACGCACGCCTCTTACCTAGCGCCGAAGTTATTATCTGTCCAGCATCAAGCAAGATGGGTGGCAATTGAAGTTTGGCGCTAGGTAAGAGGCGTGCGTAGCAACCTGGTAGCGCAGTGGTTAGAGTGCTGCGTTCCTGACTGGCAGGTCTCGGGTTCGAGACTAGTACCATGAGCATATTTTTCGGCAGAGGCAACCGACTTCTTGACGAGGTTTATTCGGAGAGGATTGAGTACCAGCGCTGGCGAAGCGGGCACCATGATCCCCCGGTAGCTCAGTGGTTAAGAGCACGTTGTGGGAAGCGGCAGGTCCCGGGTTCGGGACCGGTAGTATACACAATTTTTTCGGCGACCAATTGCTTGGGGAGGTATATCCAGAGAAGATTGGGTACCGGCGCTGACAAGGCGTGTGCCATGGCGTCCCGGTGGCTCAGTGGTTAAGAGCGTGATGTGGGAAGCAGCAGGTCCCGGGTTCGGGACCGGTAGTATACGCAATTTTTTCGGCGACCAATTGCTTGCGGAGGTATATCCAGAGAAGATTGAGTACCAGCGCAGGCAAGGCGGGTGCCATGGCGTCCCGGTGGCTCAGTGGTTAAGAGCGTGATGTGGGAAGCAGCAGGTCCCGGGTTCGAGACCGCTCAAAGTACTATTTTTTCGGGACCAGATTTCTCGAACGGCAGCTCAAGAGGAGTTGCGACATCGCCGCCGACAAGCTGGTTCGGTGGCTGAGCGGTCAGGGTAGAGGAGTTGACTAGAGTCGGCACTCGGGGTCGCGGGTTCAAATACCCAATGTGACCCCTCTGAGGTAAGGCCTCTGAATCTGGACTCTCACTGTACCACAGAAACCGCGCGCACTTCGGGTGGGCCAGCCTAATACGAACCCACTAATCTGTCGAATTGCGCGGCAGGGAGCGTCGGATGAAGGCCCGGTTCCCATAAGAACACCGAAGCTGATCGGCGGGTCTCCTTGAGACTTTCGTATTGCCACTTTTTGCCGCCGATTTTTTCGTTTTTTTGTTGAATATTTTTATTTAATTTTTTTATTAGGTAGGCGAACTATAGGTAGGCGAAAAATGGCAATATTTTATTGAATATTTTTATTCAATATTTTTATTAGGTAGGCGAAATAGACAGGTAGGCGAACATTTAGGTAGGAGAAATGAACAACTCCCGATGCCAGACGCATGCAAAACCTGAAATATGAACGCACCTGTGATGCTGATGACCACCTCCAGGAGGTCCTGCGCCTCCCTGTCCAGGGCCTTGCGCAGGCTCACCACGCCGGTGTTGCGGTCCACGGTGAAGTGCTCCCCGCTGATGGAGAACCTGACCGGCGAGCCCTCCGGGTCGGTGCCCTGCAGCCGGTACACGGGCGCGCCGACGGGGGTGTCCTCGGGCAAGGAGAAGCGGCTCATGCTGCCCGCCGACAAGAACTGCGGGGCGCGGTTCAGCTGCGCACCCGCCGCCCCCGTCACCGCCGCCAGCAGCGTCAGCAGCCACATCATGGCGCTGCCGAGGAGGCTACCGGGTCATTGTGATGTGGTCGAAGCCTGCGGCAAAAGACGGCGCATATGTTAAATGAAAAAGGTCCTGAGAAGATACCTTGTGGGAGACATCATCATCATCAACGCTGCTAGGCCTATGCAGACCTTTAGCGGTTCGGGTCACCAAGACACTCCGACCTCCCCACTCCTAAACGCACGAAGTCGGAGTGGACGTTACATGATGCAGGAAAGTACTCGATTAGGCTATCCGCGTTTACGCTCGGCGCGCTCACGCTCACGTTTCACTTCGCCATGCTCGGCCATGCCTGGCCGTGTTTTGCCGGCGTCGTGGCGGAGCAGGCGGAGGCGGCGCTCCCCAGCGGCCGGCCGCGCTCGGTGCGGCGAAAGGCAAATGCCAAGTTCGTGAGCGAGGCAGCCAGAAGGCAGCCGGCCGGACGGCTGGGGCTGCTGGGCTGGGGCCGGCGCGGTTACGGTCCGCTACGGCCCGTTACGGACGCGGGGATTCACTACGCGGGTCCAGACCTGGAGGGCGGGGCGGGGCATGTGACCACCACGGGTCCCCCCTGCTGCGTACAGTCAACCTGACCTGAGCTGCCGTCAAGAATCAAAACGATTCCTATCTCTGCGGCCACCTCGAGGGCGCTACTGTACAAAAGGTGCACTATGAGAAATTCGTCTCTTATTTCTGTGCGCGATTTCTCATAGTCGGTGTCGGTTGGCACCGCAGCACCCTTGGTTGATTCGCTCGGTTAACCGACGCCTCGTGCGGCGAGGGGCCGACCGGCTGTGATGAAGTCGCGCGGCGATCTGCGGCCATCGCGTTGGCACACTGTGGCACACTGTGGCACACTGTGGCACAGAAGAGCGATTCTGAACAGCGCCTGCATCGTCCCGTCTCCCTCGCACCCCCAGGGAACGCGGGAACGGCCCGTGAGTGCGAGAAAGACAGAGCGACGGCCGCTCGCAGTCAGACTCCAATCACGCCGCGCACTTTCATAAATCACGGACACTTATTCTCGTGATTCGCGTGGGGCAAGTTCGAGTGTAGCGGAGAGAGGGGTTCGGCCGGACCGCGGCGAGCAGGCCGGCCAGACAATGCACAGCGCCTTGCACGCGAGCCAGGCCAGGCCGCGACCACGACGCCCACGCCCGGTCAAAGGTGAAGGGCGGACCCGTCTCATTCCGAACACTGCTTCGTCGCTCTGTCTCTCTCGCACCCCTACGGACCGCCCCATGAGTGCGAGAGAGACAGAGCGACGAACGCAGAGCTCGTAATCAGACGGCTGGCGAAGTCGAGCCACAGGGACCCAGTCGCCAGCGTGGGCCCCCAGCGCTGTTGGAACAGTTTCCTTTTGCCGGTGTTCAATGGAGACAGTGTGGGCCTTTCGGGATCGGAGCATACTCCTCCACCATCAAGCAACCTTTCGGTCGGCGTATTGACGCAGAGTGCAATAGTGGCTAAGGGCATTTCCTCAAGGAAGAGCATCCCAACTAGATAGCACACAGGCATGGCGGCACACTTGGGGGCGTACAGTGTGCAGTACGCGTCGGCTCCATTGAATTAGCCTGCTCTAGCGTGCTCTAGTTTTGCCGCCTTTCTCCCGGCACCCTGACCCACCGGCCGACGGCAAGCCGACGGCCACTCCACTGCCGTGTTCGGAGGAGCCGCACCACTGCGGCTGGCCGACAAACACTTGTACTGAATGGTTCGGCACGCAGGCAGCGTGGTCTTGGCAGAACGCAGTAGTAATGTGTGCGTGCTAATTTCACTCGACCTATTCGCGACACTGATCCTCAACGGAAATTTCGCTATCACGGGCCGACACTGCAGCAGCGTGTTGGAAATGGTTGCCTTGCTCTGCTATTGATATTGCTGGCCGGACCGCAATGCGGCACAGCTGCCTTGTGCCGCTCGTTCCACGCAGCCACGCAGCCGACATGGAGTGCCCCACCGTGCCGCCGTGCCGCCACCGTGCCGCGGTTGTCAAGGTCTAGGCCCGTTTCCGCCGCTACCCCTTCCTACCGGTCGGCCTAGTGGGCCGCGCGACCGGCGGACGGAGAGCTGCTTGAACGCAGCGGCAGTGGCGGCGGCGATGGCTGGTCGCGGCGTTCTCGCTGTGAGGCCTGTGAAGTAACGGGACTTCCACAGGTGGGTCGCGAGGGCCGCGAGGCTAGACTGGCTCGCGGGGCCCAAGGCCCGGGGCCCAAGGGGGCCTGGGTCGCTGGAGGGCGTGGCATTCCAGGGGAGCAAGTGTTTTCAAGGGGATTCCAGGGGAGCAAGTGCTTTCCATGGCGGCCTTGAAAGGGGAAGGGAAACAGAAACAAACGCACAACGCACGCACGGGAAGATGGCCGACCGAGGATGGGTCGGATCATCGCTCTGTCTCTGTCGCACTCATGGCGCGTTCCGACACGGTGCGAGGGAAACAGAGCGACCAAACGACTCTTCGCACCCGAATGCCAGGATGCAGCCTCGTCTCCTCGGTGGACCCCGGAAGGGAAGGCACTGGCCTGGCTACGCCACTACGCCAGTGCTACGGCTGGCGCAGCATCGCGGCTTCAACATCGCAACCCGCGGGGAGTGCATCCAACCGTGAGCCAGCGTCCGTAACGCCCGTGCAGGTCGAGCACGGCGTGTGTCTGCAGTGCAGTGCAGCCTCATTCCGAGCAGTGCTTCACCGCTCTGTCTCCCTCGCACCCCTACGGGACGCTCCACGTGTGCGACAAGACAAGGGACAGGCACGAAAGCCCTGTTCGGAATGGGTCTGCTGCTGCAACGCTCTGCAATTGTCGTTCGCCCTGCGTATGGCGCTGTGCTGTCAGCATGGCTGTCAGCATGGCTGTCAGCATGGCTGTCAGAGCGTCGTGCGGCCGAGACAGGCCGAGGAAGGAGCGCGTCGGTTCTTTACTTGGACTTGCAGTGCAGTCGCGGAGGAATGTTGGCACGACCGGGCGTCAGCTGAGGGGAGGGTGGCCGACGCTCGCTGAATGGAAGGGGGAGGGGGGATCCTTTGCAGGCCGGCGGGGCCGGGCCGGCGTCGGTACAGGTTGTTGTTGCTGCTGCATGTTTCCAGCCGAAGAATCAGCCGGTCGGGCTTCACAATTCCACAACACCGGAGAGACACTCAATTTTCCAGCTTTTCAGGCAGCCTCCGCGAGTGGGGTGTTCGCAGTGCGGCAGAGGGCCATTGACAGTGCACAAACACCGCACGGTCAGGCATACACACCTTCAGCTCGTCGCGGCGGCGGCGGCGGTTAATCCAAAGGTTAATCCCAGAGGTGCACTTTAGGCGGCCCGCGGTTCACTGTTCCCTTTCCCGCGGCATCGCCACTCGAATCGAACCACACTTCCTGGCACTCGAAGCCAAGCCGCGCATCCCTTCGGCGTCGATGAAGGCGGTGCGCGTCGCGGTCCGTTGCCTTCTCGACTCGGCGCGCGGCGCGGCGCAGGCCAAGGAGGTACTGGCGGCCGCCGGCGGCCGTAGCACCTCAAGCTTGCCACGGCGGCCACGGCTCAGCAGGGCCCCCCCGCCCCCCGCCACGGCCCTGCTCGCCCTGCTGCAACGGGCAGGGGGCGGGGAGGGGGGAGAGGGGAGGCACAGGTGGGGCCAGGTGAGGCGAGGCAGCAGCCCGGAGTTGCCCGCCCGGAGTTGGACGACCCGAGCCCGACCGGAGGCAGCCGAAGACCAGCCCCCTCCCCTCCCCCCCTTTCTCGACGTCGCCACTGAAGGCGTCGGGCGTCGGCGCGTCGGGACGGCGCGGGTCAACGCTCCACCGGCTGGCCGGCTGGCTGCTCGGCTGGCTGGGGTGTGATTGTGATGTATGAGCCGAGCACACCTCAGTGTGTCACAGCACAGAAGCCAACCGGGCCAACAGGCCTCCATTCAAAAAGAGAGAGGAGTCACTTTTGACGCGCTGCTTTTGGGTGAGACGGAATTTGACTGTTGTTTACTTCCGTTTCAAAAAAAAAAAAAAAAAAAAAAAAACGCTGGCTACCTCTTTGGGAAATAAACACGCTCCTCCAGGGAATGACCTCCTCTCGGCCGGGAACAGAGAAAGCTTTTTCAAGTCCAGGAAGTGGTCTTCCCGTGCGCCTTTTCTTCAAGTCGAGAGATTTTCTGCACTTTTTCCGCGGCGCCCGCGCGGGCGCGCGGGCCTAGCGCGGACCGAGGCCTTCAGAGAGACTTCAGACACATTTAAAGACCCGGCGCGGGAAAATTTCTCGCCGTCCAAAAGCCGACACCTTCTGATGCTCATAAGAGGGGTGGGGGAAGTTTCTCTCCCACACACAGTTACACATACACACACGCCCGCGCGCGCACCGACAGTATGAGATCATAATGCGAATTTCATCACTCTACCTCGTCGTTCGTGGCTTGCCTCGGTCCGCTATGCACAGCACTAGCTGGCTCTGGCGCCACAGTCCTGGTGCCGTCAGGATAGGTCAAATGCGGTCAAATGCCTGTGCTTTCATGCCGCGAGGGCCTGCAGCAAAATGAAAACTTAAAAGAACTGATGGCCGCTCCCGGGACTCGAACCTCGAACCCGGGCCTCTGCGCGATGATGCCGAAAGGGAAACGGTTCGTCGCGGTGCGGCTGCCGCAACCGCCGGCGTCGTTTGGCGGCAGGAAGACGCGGCCGGCTTGGCGTCGCGACGGCACCACCGCGATGAACATGTCTTGCAATGAGGCTGGCCTGGCTGGCCCGCCGCGGCGCGGGAGAGGCGGGCGGTACTGTACACTGTAACCCTACAACAACGGCGCGCTGCGGGGAAAGCGTCTGCCGTCGGGGAGGGGGGCGGACGACGCGGACGTCGCGGGCGTGGGTGTCAGCGTGCATTGAATACGAACAGCCGGAAGGACGGCACGGAGCGGGGCGGGGCGCGGCGGGGTGCGGCGGTAGGGCCTCGGGTAGGGCTTTAACGGGCCGCCCGAGCTTCACGGCCCGACCGACGAGGCTGATTCGGCACAGCGTTCCGTCGCTCCGTCTCTCTCGCACACCGACGAAAGACCGTTGACGCGAGCCGCGTTACGTCACACATGGATCCGTCGGCGACAAAGGCAGATGTTGCGCCGCGCGAGGTTTCTCTCTGCGGCGGCGAAAAATTGGCGTCGCCAAGGAAAGGAGGCGGTGCGCGCACCGCGGCGTGCAGAATTAGATCAATGTTTGGTGTAGCAGTGTAGCAGATGGGCAACAAGGTGCGTCGAAAGGGGTGACTCTCCCCATCCATGCAAGGCCACGGCCACGGCGCGGTCGGGCCCGCCGTCACGCCTGGGCGCGCGGGGACACGCGTTTCGCGGAGAAAAGGCCTGTTTAAAGAGGCACCAAAAAAGGGGGTAGTGATTTCAAAATGGGGCAAAAATCGTAACGACGAGAAACATTGTTTTCATAAATTTTCTTTTGTTCTATGAAGGAGGCACATATTAACTATTTGAATTTGTGTCTAGTCAGCACGGTGTAGTACTTGTACGGTGGTGCCGGTGCCCTTTTTTCCATCAGTATTAAAAAGTGCCCCAACGCACAGGAATTTCTCATACTCCTCAAATCGCACTTGGTTTATTTTTTTGCGCGCCGCGTTTAATACACTTAGCAGCCGGAGACGTTACGCTAAATGCGCGGCAGCGGAACGGCGCTGCAGCGAGTGCACCGCCCCGCGTCGTCGCGCCGACAACCCTTCCCAATGAAATAATAAAATAAATGGAACGAAAAGTAAAAATGTCGGCTGCGCGCCGTGCCGCGGAACGGCGTGGCGGGGTTTACGAGCCCCGGCATCGCCTCCATAACCCGGAGTGCAGAATCAATATCGATACGGATCGAGCTTCGATATCTCGATGTCGAGCATCGAGTCCCGGCTAGGCCCATTAACTTCGAGCGGCAATCGGCCCAGGCCGGTGCAAAGGGAAGAGCTCAGGCAACCTTTCTGCAGAGCTGCAAAAATTCAGATTGCAATTGTACTGCCCCGTATCTTTTTCCTCTCGCTCCCTCGCCGTGACCGTGTCTCTGTCTGGTGCGAGCCCTGCGAGCCATTCTGCCGGGCTGTCCGGCATTCCCAGCGCGCGTGATACTTCTCACAAGAATATTCTCGCGACCCACATGCGCCACGCGGATCGCCCCGACTCCCCCACTGCCTCCGCGTCGATGCCCCGCGCCTCGGAGTGCCTCCAGCGCGCTGCAGCGTGGGGTATCGACGGGTACCCGCGAGTTGGGTGGTAATGAGCGACCGGCGCTGTTAAAAAGTGCGCGAGACCTGTCCAGGCAATTTATTTATTTGTTTGAGTCGCGGGGTGCGAGGACGCACGCGCACACACACGCACACACTCGCACACACGCGATTATCACGGCGATGGCGTAGCGTCGCTGGCAAATATTGACACTAATCTCTCATGCCTTTATCACGCGGACACTTATCGGCGCGTCAATACCGCCAGAGCAATGGTTCAAATACTGCACTCCAATTAAGTTTTCCCGTCAGTTTTCTCATTTTCATCTTCTTGTTATATTCAATCTTTTTCGAATTCATTTTTTTTGTTGCTCTGGTTTGCCAGTTGATCGCCGCCTCGTCGCGCCACTGTCACGCGCTCGTCACGCGACCGTCACGCCGCGACGCACGTGTCACGTGAAGCCGTGGCGACGCCGTGTCTTGTGGCCAACCGGGCGTGCGGCAGCGTGCGCGCGGGTGTAACACGCAAACGGGACCACTCAGTCAAGGTCAACGCAGTTTTTTCGACTCTTTCCTGCCAAGAGCATTCCTACCCAAAAGCATCTAGTACCAAAGTACCAACACCGGCCACCTCGCTCGGGTCTATATATTTTGTTTCATACACAATTTTAATTACTATCTTTGGAATGAGCCCGCATACTACCCCGTATAAGGAAACCAAACGAGTATTGACTGAGAAATTTGAAAGGGAAAAGAAAAAAATTTGAACTCTACACCCCCTCCCCAGTCTTAATGGGGAGGCCTCCTGCTTTACTTCGGTGTTCGGGATGGGAACCGGTGCTATCAGGTACCTGGGGTTAATCCCGTCAGCGACCCAAGCGTTCGCAGGGGGACCCAGTAGGACCCCAAAGCTCAGGCAGCTGGGTGAGAGCACCCAGTACGAAGCTCTTTGAGGGGCGGGACGTAGAGTGAGACGACAGAGAGACAGAGAGAGACTCAGACAGAGAAGAGGTTTGGTGGGAGCTTCTTGTTTTCGTAGGGTTGGTTGTGTACCCCATGGTACCCCCACTGTCCGGCGCTCCCGTACCGAACATACAGCGTTTTAGGCCAGCTTCAAAGGACTTATCATCGCCTCCCCGACGAGTCAAGGAGGCACCACCCGCAACCACACACCGGATGGTCTGGATTGATGGATCAAATACTCCATCGCTCCAGTGCCGAGGCCAACCCGCCGAAGCGGATTGCTTTTTAGACACCCACAGCGGAGTGGCCAGGTGAATGTGACTCTGACCACTACGCTATCACGCTTGTACGTCTGGCAGCGTGTTGGACGACGGGTTTGAGTTGCAGTGGGAGGAAGGCAGTCGAAAAATGTAACGAAATGATGAGATTCGATCCCCGGACCCCGCCACCGGGATCACACGACTTTACGCTCTCGGCCACCACGGCCCATGATGAGGGGACCGGCGTGAGGTGGGTTCTTGACGCAACAGGACTCGACTGACCCGGTCAAAATTTCGCAAGAAGTTGGGGGAGTCGAACCGCCGACCTTAGCTTTGGGAACCGACGCCTCTACTCCCTGGACCACCACGTCCCATGCACGGAGTGGGCTCACGTTCACGGTTTTCAACCGTACTGGGTGAGGCAGTAAAATTAAATGGAAATATTTGTTAGGAGTCGAACCTCCGGCATGTGGGTCTGTTGCACACGGCTCCGCTCGGATGGCCTCGAACCACCACCCTTAGGATAGTCAGTCGAAAAAACGTATGTGACGCTGGTATTCGAACGCCCGCCTGCGGTAACTCGATCCGACGTCTCTAACCTCTCGGCTATCACAGCAGTTGTGTAACGCGACGGATCATCTGCTTTCATTAACGTTCGTTGAATGAGATTTTTTTTTCAGCCATGAGCTCCATCCAAGAGCATTTTCCTGCCAAAAGGAGCAGGTAGGTATACTTTTGCGTGCCCGAATCTAATACAAAAACCCAAGCCCAAACCTACTGCTCCTGCCGCA